AGAGAAACTACACAAGCAGTCTGTGAAATCATGCAAGATTCAAATCAATGCAGGCCCAAAAGTTACATATTTATCTGATTTGCGGGTTGACATAATTTGGCCACTCATTTGGCAGCAGGTATCAATAGGCATCATAAAGAAACAGTTGCTGTTATTTTCTGGACAACCTGTTCAGGCATGTTATTACACATCTCTGGAGCAGGTAAGACTTGAATCCAGGCCTCCTGGCTCAGAGATAGGGACACTGCCCTGTGCCACAAGAACCCTCCCCTTTCTAATCAACCTGTTCATAGATGTTCTTACATGCCTTTGCAGCAGGTGGGACTTGAACCCAGGTCTCTTGGTCCAGGGATAGGGACACTACCTCTGTGCCAGAAGAGGACAACTAACAATTGTGGATAGACTTGATGATGTAATTCATTTCACACAACAAGCTAATCAAGTCAGTCAACATATAAAAGTTTAAACAACGTTCAAGTTCCATGACCAAATGCTCACCCAAAGGAGGAAGGTTTTTATTTTATCTAAACTTTATCTCAAAGATCAAGCAAAATTTCTTGTTCAAACTCTGAACACTGTCTTTAAGATCTCATTTCAGATGGGGTATTCCTTCAGCATTCCTTCTAAAGATGAATGAATATTTTAGCTACTACTTTTGGTTCACTTAGATTCACTGGAATTACTCAACTACCTATCTTCAGTTAGAAGCCATGCACACCATTTCTATCATTCTTACAGTCACAGTGTCTTGCTTCTTAACTGGTCTCTTTGGTTACTATGAGCATAGAAGACGAACTTTTTTTTAATATGGGGATGATATTCCTATATTAATCTATTTTGCAGAAAAAGTACATTATCTTAGAACAACCCAAACAGGGAGAAGGCCCACCTTCCTTAAGGTACTGTCTTGAGTTTTCATTAGATATTTCACCAACATGATCTTCAGGACAGGACAACTGACATTACAGGGAAGGTGGAATAAAGACAGACTACTCTCACTAGACCTTACAAAGCTATGGTTATCATCCCCGCTGGGCATAACCTTGAAGGCACAATCAGCTCCCTTAACTGTAAGAATGGATCTTCAGTGCAGACCTAACTCATGTAACTGTCACCATCAAGTTTTATGGACTACTTACCCTGGGGATATTACGTTTGTGCTGCTTAATTTTCTAACATCTTTGACAGCACCCAATTTTGCCATGTGAAAAGCACCTTCGGCTAACACCATTAATCAAACCAATTCTCAGTTATGAAATTTTAATTCCACAAGTTCCAAAAGTACTGCATCTGTGTGATAACATCCTGAGTATTAACTAACGCTACCTCTCAACTTGAAAGGACACTGCTGGCAGAGTCTATTCAAAGATGCACAATCTAAAAGGGACATGTTTCTCTCAGTACCAGTTAGTTCTCTGAAGGACGTTTTATCATACCTCCCCATGACATTCCTTTCCTAATTCAGTCCAGCCTCGGTCAAGTAGGTGCTTTCCAATGCCTGCCTCTCCCACATTCTTTATCTTTCCTCTTAAAGAACATAGAACACACAACAGTACAACACAGCACAGGCCCTTGGCCCACGATGTTGTGCCAACTTATTATCCTACTCTACAATCAAACCAACCTGCATACCCTTCATTTTATCATCATCCATGTGCCTATCCAAGAGTCACTTAAATGCCCCTAATATATCTGACTCCACTACCACCGCTAGCAGTGCATTCCACACACCTACCACTGTGTAAAGAAACTACCTCTGACATCTCCCCTATACCTACCTCCAATCACCTTAAAATTATGCCCCTTTAAGAGATATTTTTCCTGTACTAACTGCTGACCTCACAGGGGCTGTTATCACTGAAGGTGGAGTAGGTTTGTCCAAGTTTCTCAATTAACAAAGTCAATTCTACAACAATGCCATCTAATAATGTATTATATATATATGGTGATCCATGAAACTGACAATTAACTAGTAGCATTTTGCTGTGAAGGAAAGCCTATATTTTCCCCACTTTTAATGATTAGACACTTTCCTTCCCTTTCCCCAGGCCTCATAACATAAACAACTTCTCAGGAACTGTCAATTAAGGTCCACTATATTGTAAAACGGCAGCTAGGCAGCCAAAATAGAGAATGGTTGATTATTTCTCATATCCAACAGGTTTCTATGAGTGGCTGGTGGGGAGTGGAAAGGGTGACAGATAATGACAGGGATGTTGTTTAGCCATTATCGTATGTTGACAAAATTCTTTTTAAACAGCCAAACTTAAGTTACTGACTACTTAACTTACCGCAGACAATTCAATCAATCACTCTCTTACTCTCACCCCAACCCACGCCCAAGCATCAGCTTAGTCTTTTCTCAAGCTTTGAAAAATTTGGCAGCCCAAATTCATTTGAAACACCGATTCACAAACAGAAAATATATCAAACAATAAAGAATATAAACTTCCAATCACTTATTACAAGTAAAAATATGCAAAGTCGCCATAGTCCTTGAAAACAAAAGGGTTGCTCTCTCATTAGAGAGAGTGGTGGTTTAACCAGAGGGTCACCCACACCTCAGGTGAGGGGCAAGTTTGAGAAGGTGGGACCTTCACGGTAACCTCAACCAGTGCAGGAATTCAGCCTGTGCTGTTGCGTCACTCAGCATCGCAAACCAGCCATCCGGCCTACTGAGCTAAACAACCCCTATTACAGCAAGTGCAATAATATGGGGGAGAAAAAGAAACTGTTTCACCAAGCAAGGGCTTGTAGAATAAGCAAACAAGCTAAATGAAAATTATAATTCTCAAAGAACAGATGGTCAGTTAGAGTCAGATGTACAGCACAGAAACAGACTCTTTGGTCCAACTCATCCATGCCTACCAGATATTCTTAATCAATCAATCAATCTAGTCCCATTTGCCAGCATTTGGCCCATATCCCTCTAAAGCCTTCCTGTTCATATACCCGTCCAGATGATTTTTTAAATGCTGTAATTGTACAAGAATCCACCACCCCCTCTGGCAGCTTATCCCATACATGTGTGAAGAAGTTGCCCCTTAGGTCCCTTTTAAATATTTCCCTTCCCATCTTAAACTTATGCCCGCTAGTTTTGGACTCCCCTACCCTGGGGACAAGACCTTGACTATTCACCCCGTCAATGCCCTCATGATTCAATAAACTTTTAAGGTCACCCCTCAGCCTCCAATGCTCCAGGGAAAATAGCCTTTCTGTATAGTTCAAAATCTCCAACCCTACCAACATCCTTGTAAATCTTTTCTGAAGACTTTGAAGTTTCACAATAGACCAAAACTGAATGCAGTATTCCAAAAGTGGCCCAATGTGGCCCTGTACTGCCGTAACACGACATCCCAACTCCTATACTCAATGCAGTGACCAGTAAAGGCAAGCATACCAAACGTCTTCATCACTAACCTGCCTACCTGTGATTCCACTTTTAAAGGAACTATGAACCTGCACCCCAAGTCTCTTTGTTTGGCAACACTGCCCAGGACTTTACCATTAAGTGCATAAGTCCTGCCCTGATTTGCCTTACCAAAATGTAGCACCTCATTTATCTAAATTAAGATATATATCTTAATATATTATAATATATAATATATAACATAGAATACCTAAATTAAGACATACAAGAGAAAAACACCAGTAATATAGCACATTCTCCCCATCTAATTATTTATTAAATATGCTAAACCTGAATCAAACACTTGGATGCGGTGTGAAGGCTGATCCCCATACTATAAATAGAAATAGAGACACTGAAGTGGGTACAGAGAAGATTGACACGGTTGATCACAAATGTGTGGGTTTAGACATCAGGAAAGGGTTGACAGGTCACATCTGTTTTCTCTGGGTAAAGGCCCAGGAGGGACATAATAGACATCTTTAAAATGATGGGAGGGTTTGACAGACTGGATGCCGAGAGAATGCTTACTTTCATAGGGAACAGCATAACTTGAGGCCACAAAGTAGTTGCCAAGAAATCCAACAAGGAGTTAAGAAACATCTGCAGAATTGGATTACAGAAATGAAGAATGCACAGGGAGTGGTTGAATCAAATATCATACATGTGTTTAGAGGAAGATAGACAAGATTAGAGGGAGAAAGGAATAAAGGGTTAGGATAACAGATGAGCAAAGGTGACAAGAGACTCTAATAGAGCAGGAACACTGGTGTGAACTGATTAGAACAGATTATAGAATCCTAGAATCCTTACAGTGTGGAAATCAGGCCATTCAGCCCATTTAGTCCACACTGACCTTCCAAAGAACATCCCACCCAGACTCAATCCCCTACCCTATCCCCGTAACCCTGCATTTCCCATGGCCAATCCACCTAACTTGCATTATTTTGGACAGCGGGAGGAAACCCACACAGTCAGTTGCCAGAGGATGGACATCGAACCCGGGTTCCTGGCGTTGTGAGGCAACAGTGCTAACCACAGAGCCACGGTGCCATCCTGCTTGTTTCCTCTATATCTTATACAATCCTCTCCACAGGATAAAAAAGCTTACACATTGACATTGAGCGGATAATTCCATCAAGAAGAACAATTACTGCAACATCTGCATGTACCTCCAGCTTCCCACCACCCTCCACCGAAAGGCAAAGCAAGCTTCACACTCGTCAAAATTTTCACATTGCAATCCAATTTTGTGGCTGTTGTGCTAGGGCAATGGGTGTAAATAAAAATAAATGAGGGTCGGAAAAAAACTGCACTACTTGGAGAGAGTAGTGGTGAGATCATATTTGCATTTTGCTGCCCCACTCACAGGGTCAAAGATGACAACACCTCAGATGGGATAATTGAAAACACCATATGCAGCAAACACATTGCCTTTAGAAAAGCAAGAGTTAAATGGGTTTCACAGAGCCGCGTTCTCTTGCGCCTACTCTACTGAAACATTCACCAGCTGACAAATGAGGTAGTTAGGTTTGCCAGCCTTTCACAGCAATATGCCTTATAAGAAGCCATAACAGATTAGACATATTACTTTTCATCCATATGACTGCGCATCTTCTTCAGTTTTTGCATGATGCTGCTAGTCTCACTGCCCGAGATCGAAACAGGGGAGGGGCTCCGTGTCTCCATATCTGTTTGCAGGGGACTGGAAGTGTGGCTCACTTTGGAAACATTCTCCACGTCTGTTTGTTCTGCATTCCGCTGCTCCTGTAGAGTTTGAACCTAAGAAAATACAAAGATGGATGCATGGAAAATTAAGTTTGCTCCCAAAAGAAAACAGTTCCAGAATTTGCTGGGATAAAATACAGATGAGTCATCAGAGAGTGATTTCTGCAACTAAGCAGCATCATTTCCTTTCAAGCAGGCAGTGCTTTTCAATGTCTGGGGTCTGCAATTTTAACACACAAAAGATAAACAATAGTACACGTGCGCGTCAAACTTGGAGTGCTCAGCTCTGGGAATTGCTCCTCAGGAAGTATGTATTGCACGTGGAGAGGGTGCAATGCAGATTCTAGAATGATACTCTGGTTAAAAAGGTTAAATTATGACTAGGCCTGTAATCCCGTCATCTCCCGCACTCCGAGTATGGAAGAGTAAAGAATATCTAATTTAGTTTCAGGCATTTAAGATAATTAAAGGAACTAAAATGATAGCTAGAGAGAATTTTTTTTCTGGTATGGGAGACCATTTTAAAACCAATGCTAAGCCATTTAGGAAACAGTCCTTCATGCACTGTCTGATGCAAATTCCAATATTTGCCCATCCCTATCCCCTCCCTGTTTCACCCATTCAAATAAAAATGTTGAGGCTTTCAATTAGTTGAACATTTCAGAAATGAGCCAGATTTTTTTGTTTGTTTTGAATGTTTATTAAGTAAAACAGACTAAGGTGGCGAGATGTAGATCAATTATAGTACAAGTAAATGCAATCAGATGAGTGGATCAACAACCTAGTCCCATTCCTACACACATTATCAAGTGCTACAGTTGTTTTGAAACCTTTGTAGGATATGCTAATAACAAGTGGGAGGCAGATTACAGGGAGCAAAAGAACACATTGGCTGAAAGCTCCATTTCTTGTGCTTTCATTGCTACAGAATGCAGAATAACACTCGATATCTATGAACACAAAGCATGGCATTCTTGGCAACATAGAGTTTTAGGTTGCAGAGATCTGGCCTCTACATAAATAAATATGTGAACATATTATCAACTTAGTAGAAGTACTGAGGCTCAAGGTGACGTTTCTGACCAGCAGATAAACCATTCTTACATGCATTGTAATGATAATATAGACTAGAGACTTTGCTGAATAGCAAGCTTGGATTGTAGGTGATCACCCCTCATTAATACTGCTGAGTAAGTAACTTCTTACTTACATAGTAACCTTGCATTGAACAGTTCAGGAGGGTATATTGTTTGCAAATGGTGGGATACTAACCAACTTGCTCTCCCCAGCTGATTTCAGTTTCTCCTGAATTTTGATGGTGGTCTGGCGCATACGTTGAATCTCCTCCTGCTGTTTCAGAATTAGTTGTCTCTCTTTGTGAGCAGCCCTGTTGGCTTCTTGAAGACGCTTGATTTCAGCCTGTGATGAAATTGGGTGCAACGTATTACTATGTTAAAGAACAAATCAACGTAACAGGGAAAGGGTCTGTACGTTGACAACAAAATAAATTTGTTGACAGACCACAGACAAAAATAAAGTCAGGTCACACAACTTCACAACCCATAAGTTATAAGTTGCACAGTTTTCAGATGGCATTGTGCAACCTGTACAATTTATAATGCTTGTCCTCGATGAAAATTTTGGTTTTTTTTAGATAAAATGTTATGTGCAACACTAAGTCAAACAGACAAGTACATCCCAGATGAAAAGTCATTACCATGAAACATTAACTCGTGTTCTCTTTCTACAGATGCTGCCTAACTTTGAACGTTTCCAATTTTTGATTTTATTTCAGAAGGTTGCTTCCTAGCCTGTGGTGAGTTAACCTATCTGAGTACTGAAACATGGAAAAACTGTTCTCAGCAGCCACGTACTTAACATAAGAGAAAGCAGCAGAATAAACAGGCAGATTTCCACTCTCAAGAATTGCTTATTAGCTCTTGCTGCTGGGAAAGTTGGAAAGTATGCCTGCATGGAGTGAATACAGAATCTGGCAAAACGTGCAGTGGGTCCAACAGCAAATAACATAACATTCCAAGTGCATGTGACACTGCCTACAGATTGGCAATATCTGTGCCAACAAAAATCAGCAACCTGTTGAGCTCATCGCTATATTTACTTTTCTCATCTTTAGTTTGGAACTATGCGCTGAAGTTGAGAATTGAACTTTGAACAGCAATTTATTTTAAAAGAGTGGAGAACAAAGATAGATGTCTGCTGACCTGGAAAGATACTGGAGGTTAATTACTGATCTAAGGACACTCCAGATATTTCAGCACCAGGATGTTGCCATGCTGAGAGACTAGTTGGATGTTAAATTGATCAATAAAGGATGGACCGATGCTGGCCAGCCAACTAGAGAATGTTGAACAAGAGGGGAAAAACAAAGTGAACTGGTTCTGACTGGGTTTGAGCTGGAGGCAGTTTTGTTTTGGAAACTTCTGGACTGGCTGTTTTCCATTGCTCTCTTTAGTTATTCTCCAATGATTGAATGTTGAAAGTTCGGAGAAATAATTCCCAAACAGTAAGAAATAAGCATTAGTCTCCAGAGGTCTACGGAAGCCATTTGCGTTGACTGGTGACTTCAGAAATCAAGCCCTATGTACCTGTAATACAACTAATTGACCAAGGATTTCACGAAGGCCTGATATGCAATGTTGAAACAGTTATTCAATGGGAAAATTACGATTTGTTTCTTTTTTCTAGTTTATCCCTTAACTCTGTCTGTTGGTGTCTAAGTAGGGTTAATGTTCAAAGAAGATTGAACTTAGATTGTACATATAAAGTTGTTTATTTTTGTTTAAGTTATAACCTTGACGTTCAAGATCTGTTATTTCTAAAGTCAGGTTAGGAACAATTGAGCAATTTTGAGTGTTGTTCAATATCTTAATTTCACAGTGTTCGACTCCAGTGGTGGTAATGCTAATTTGGCTTGCTATCAGTGTCAAATTTCAGGTTGAGGGAACATCAATCAGGTGGAAGAAATCAAATTCGAAATTCATGAATGTAAAGGGACAAAGGGAAAACCATGAAGGTAGCTTTAAGACAAAGTCACATGAAATAGATAAGAGACTAGGCAATGTTTTAACCAGGCTCACAGCAGCAGCTCACCAACATTTCGAAAGCAATTAGGAATCCAAAATAAGTGGTCACCTAGTTAACAACAGCATGCCCTGGGAGCAGTCTTTTTTAAAAAAGGTTACACTTCAAGGGCAAGGTAATGATGAAAAATAAAACCTTTAAATGGTAATAAAACCTCCAATGTTGCACCCCTTCCCTTAACATCATAAATTAAAGGCCAATGAAGGGCACTTGATAACCAGTGATAACTGGAATCTGTTGATTTGCATGCATAAGAGCTCATCCATTGCAATAACAAGCAGACAGCTAATTTCTTTCATATGGAGGGATGAGGCGGGGGAAAAAATCAACAATTTCACAATACATCAAGGTGCATAAAAATGTATTCTGGCCGCATTATACAATCATTCTTCTCAAGACTTGGTTAATAAGCTTCCCCTTAATGTGCCATCCTGAAGATAATCATAGCAAAGCATTGCCAGTGGGACAGCCTTGTTCAAATACACCAAGGCATGGAAATGTGTTACTAATCTGTATCCCTAGATATAGCATACACATTATATACAGAATTACTTGTTGTTAGCATTACTTGTTGTTGGCATTTCAAGGAAAAACTGGATCCTTTTCACACCATTTAAAAAAAGGTTTGCAACCAAATCAAAACCTTGGGGAAGCATGCTCGATGATCATGGATTAGGGGATAGCTCCATATTTCTTTCTGGTCATACCTGCTCCTGCTGCAGCCTCAGAAGAAGCCCACGCTGTCTCTTACGAATGGGTGGCATCTTGTCATCTTCTCCTTTGTCTCTAAGGCGTCTGGTTAGAGAACATGGCAAAGTCACATGGTGTAATGATGCTCTAATTTAGAGACAAACTTGTGTAAATCAGCTCAAGTCGATCATGCATTTTCACCACTGCTGAATTAGCAACTAAACCAGAAACAGAATGATCAGTTTAAGATTCCGTTAAATAGCAAATCCTCCTTGATGTATTGCAACTTTAATGCCCCTCCATGCTTGTCATATTCAACTTGGAGAAAAATTATTTCAACAAGACTTGCTTATTTTCACAAAATTAAAAGGGTACTTTAAAAGAAAAACTGGAAATAAAAAGTTGGTATCGGTAAACTTGTCCACAAAGATGTTAAGCAGCATAAAAACTAATACAAGAATGCTCTTTGGAGAAGTAATCTGCTGCCCACCCCTAGTCTTGCAGATGTGACTGCAGTATCATGGCAGCATGGTTGGCATGCACACCACACATGCCATGCAACGACCATCTCTAGTAATCTTCTTGATATTCAATGACATTATCACCACTGATTCCCTCACAATTAACACACTGGAGTCACCTTTGACCTGAAACCGAACAGGCCGAGCTACACGAGACTGTGTCAACAAGAACAGGTCAGAGGCTGGGAATTCTTCACTAAGTAACCATTTCCTGTCTCCCAAGTTCATGTCCAAGAAGAAATATGACACCATCTGGGATGTAGCAACCCACTTGATCAGCACTCCATTCACCAACCTATACATTCACTCCCTTCATCAATCGACAATGACAGCTATGTGTACTATCTACATGATGCACTGCAGGAACTAACTATACTCCTTTGACATGTCCTTCAAAGCCTGTGGCCTCTACCACCTAAAAGCACACAGGCAGCAGATAACATGGTAACACTACTGCTTGCAAGTTCCTCTCCAAGCCACACACTATCTTGAATTTGAAATATATCACTCGTTCATTGCTACAGGGTCAAAATTCCAGGTACTCCTTTCCTATCTGCATTGTGGATGTACATGTACCAGGTGAACTGGCTCACTATCACCTTCCCAAGGACAACGAAAGATTGACAACAATACCGGCCTTGCCAGCAGAGCTGACATCCACTGGAGAATTTTGATAAAAACCCTCTGAGCCGTGGGTTATGAAAACAGTCTTGCATCAATCTGTTATAGAATTCTGAACTCCAAACCTAACAGCACTTGTGGGTTTATATTTACTAAGCAGACTGCAGTGGCTCAAGGCAGTCCACCACTATAACCATTTCAAGAACGAGCATTATCTGAAACATCCAAATTCAAAGAATGAACTTGAAAATTTGAAGAAAAACCCAATCAAAATTGACTTCATTCTACGCAATCCACAATAGCATTGAGGACATATGATGTGAATACCTACAATCTGCACAACAGCCCCACTGCAATGAGAAAAGAAAATGGTCTCCCCCTTCGCTGGAAAGTATTATTGGAAGTATCTGCTGTATGCACATTCCTACTTAGCATTTTTGAAAGCCTATTAAGCTTGACGTCAGCTACTCACTTTTTCTGGTGCTCCAACCAGGCCAGCTCTGCTTTGGTCTTTTCCTTCAAGGCTCGTTCTCGTAGCTTGAGGAGTGACACCTGGTGCTGTGCACGCATCTCCTCTTCCTTCATGTACTGCCGCACCATCTCCATGGTGAATTTGGAGAAACTGTCTTGTCCCCCAGAGAAGGGCATGCTCAAATCATGCTGAACAGTGAAAGACAGGAAGACAAACAGTACACAATGAAGTGAGCTGCTTCCCTGATCCAACTAAAACTTGTCCTGTAACCCAAGAAAACTTAGGACTGAGTGCAAACAACAGCAACCATTAAAAGTAGGTGGGAGTATCATCAGACATGCCAATCATGCTGCATCACAAGTGATCCCATCAAAGTGTCCCAATATTTATCAGGATTAGTGAATGCTGGCAGTCCCTCTCTCATTTCATCATAAGACCATAGGAGCAGAAATTAGGCCATTCAGTCCTTCGAGTCCGCTCCACCATTCAATCATTCCTGATAAGTTTCTCAACCCCATTCTCCCGCTTTTTCCCAGTCATCCTTGATCCTCTTGACAATCAAGAACCTATCTATCTGTCTGTCTTAAATATACTCAATGACCTAGTGTCCACAGCCTTCTGTGGCATTGAATTCCACAGATTCACCACTCTCTAGCTAAAGAAGTTTCTCCTTATCTCTGTTCTAAAAGGTCTTCCCTTTACTCCAAGGCTGTGCCCTCAGTTCCTAGTCTCTCCTATCAATGGAAACATCTTCTCAACATCCTCTCGGTCTAGGTCATTCAGTATTCCGTAAGTTTCAATTAGACCGCCCCTCATCCTTCTAACTCCATTGAGTACAGACTCAGAGTCCTCAAACGTTCCTCATATGTTTAGCTTTTCATTCCTGGGACCATTCTCATGAACCACCTCTGAACCCACTCCAGGACCAGTACATCTTTCCTGAGATATGGGACCCAAAACAGCACACAATACTCCAAATACGGCCTGACCAGAGCCTTATAAAGCCTCAGTAGTGCATCCCTGCTTTTATATTCAAGTCATCTCAAGATAAATGCCAAAGTTGCATTTGCCTTCCTAACTACTGACTCAACCTGCAAGTTTATCTTGAGAGAATCCTGGACTAGAACTCCCAAGTCTCTCTGCACTTCAGCTTTCGGAATTTTCTCCCCGTTTAGAAAGTAGTCCATACCTCCATTCTTCTTACCAAAGTGCATAGCTTCACACTTTCCCACGTTGCACTCCATCTGCCACTTGTGCCCACTCTCCTAAGCTGTCCAAATCCTTCTGCAGCCTCTCCCACATCCTCAATACTACCTGTCCCTCTACCTATCTTTGTATCATCTGCAAACTTAGCCAGAATGCCCTCAGTTCCTTCATCTAGATCATTAATGTATAAAGTGAAATGTTGTGGTCCAACACTGACCCTTGTGGAACCGGCTGCCATCCTGAGAAAGACCCTTTTAACCCCACTCTCTGCTTCATCTGTGAAACACACCAAGGCCAGTGACGCCCCTGATATCATCATTTTTTGGTCAGAACTCCAGCCACTAATTTGCTGCCAGGTTCTGATAAATAATCAAAAACAGAACAGGAGTTGCATTTGGAGAGAATAAGGGTGAGATAGTTGCGTCAACATCAGGACAAGAGGAGGCAATTTAACTTCTTGAGTCTATTCCACCATTCACCCAAATCATGGTAATCTTCATGATCATGGCAAATCCTTGCCTTTGTCCCAGATCCCTTCAGCATTTTGGTACAAAAATCTATCAATTTCAGACTTAAAGTTTGCAACTGATTTAAAATCAATCGCTGTTTGTGGAAAGAAGTTTCAAACTTAATCCAATTCTGTGTTAAAGTGTTCCACCATATCAACCTGAAAGTTCTGACCCCAACATTTTATCTATTTAATGTCTCCTCTTAATTTAAGCTTTGGAATCCAAGTATCACTTCAATAAATCCATATTGCACGTCCAACTAAAGATGATACTTAAGCCATGGTGCCCAGCACTGAAGGCTCAGTCTAACTAGGGTTTTGAATTGCTGAAGCTGGACTTCTAATCCTTTGTCTTGTAGTCTTCTTTAGATATAGAAGTCAGCATTCCATTACCTTCTTGATCACTTTCTGTACCTGTTTGTGCCATTTTAATGAACTATTCACCTTGATCACCCCCACTGCCAAGTTTCCTTTCAACACCAATGTCTGTTGTCTTTCACAATCAAGAAATATCATATTTTGATCCAACCTCTCACTTGCCTGCATTGAAACTCATCTGTAGCTTTTCATTTGCTTAATCTATCAAGATTGCTCTTTAATTTTATGCTTCCATTACCTACACTGGAGATCGTTTGCCAATCTATAGAGTGGCCCCAAATTTTGAACATGTGGCTTTCTTTTCATTATGAGTGGTTAATAAATAGTGAATAGATAGGGCTCCAACATAGATCTGTGCAGGATACAACTAACCATATCCTTCCAATTAGAATATCTCCCATTATCTGTACAAATCTCTCTTGATCAAATCAAATTCCCCTGCAAGTGCTATTTTGTCTTCTACCTCCACTTATTATTACCTCTAACGAACAGTAAAAAGTTGTAAATTCAGGGACTATTTTTGGTAGACAAATTTAGCTGTGTTTACCTGACTGGGTGAGCAAGGAATCCCAATAAATATTAATCTTTGTCTTCACTACATGGTAACTCAATCACAAAGGCTCTTCAAGATTTATAAACTCTGGGGACAGTCAGTTAGCACTTGGTACTTATTTTAAAAAAACAGCCCCAATCCCACAGTTGGCTCACACTCATTGCCCCATCTGCTCCTCGTCCCTTACATCTGAATCTCATGGCAAAACACCTAGAACATGGAGAGGAGCAACTATTCCAAGCACTGAGATCCCACTGATTGGCACCTCAGCTAACCTGTAGGAGAACTCACTTTTACAGCTATTGAAGACGACTGATCCCGCGCTATGTCCTCATCCGAATCATCCTGCTGGCTGCGTTTCTTCTCCATATTAAAGCGGCGATGGCTCTCTGATGGCAGAAGGGAACGGAAGGATTTCTCTTCAATCTCATCTTCGGTCATCGACTCATCAAATTTGAGTGAGTACTCAGTGGCAACAGAAGCAGAGTCTGGAGAGACAATTTATGATTTACATTGTTCTGTTATTTCCCATTACTCAAATGAAAGATTTTGAACTTTTCAGTTCTAACAAAGTTAGAGGCCAAGCTAGAATCCTTGGATTAATTAGTTGCTCAAGGAGCTAAGTTAGAATAAAATTATAGATTCAACACAACCGTTACATTGAATCACAGATTGTTTAAGATCCAAGGAAAACAAAAAGGAAAGTTGGGTTTAATAGCTTAATCACATGACTGAATAACAGAATCTTTAAATAAATCAGTGCAAAATATTTTGTGCTTATCTGACTCATGGCATTTTCATTTCCTTTAGGTAGGGAAAGAGTTTTAATCTGACAATAGATTTGATTCAGTCTGATCATCTAACTGGAGAGACATGCTTTCCCATTTAATTCATGAGATCAGTGGAAGGTCAGAAGACAAAACATAATTTCTGTTTAAAGAATTCACCTTTCTCATCAGGTAACGAAGGCACACTGTCGCTGTGGATCGAGTCGTCAGCTGCTGTCTTCACCACCTCTTCGATAGAGCTGTTTCCCTTTGCATGGCAGAAAGTTCTGCTTTTCTCTGAAAATGGTAAGGAGGGACTGTCGTGCCTACTACTGCCGCTGCTGCTGCTACAAATGAGAGAGAGATCAACGCAGATGCTTAGTTTCAGAAAACAAAAACAAACTGGTGGTATTTGAGATTTACACAGGCCTTCCTCCTGTATCTCTCCATCTAACACTATCAACATATGTTTCTTCGGCCTCTTGTATTCAGAGCTTCTCCTTGAATTAATCTATTTGCTTTTATTATTCCTGGTGGCTTATGTTCCACATTCTAACCCCCTTTGGGGTAAAGACGCCCCCCTGCCCCCCTGCAAAAAAATTTAATACTGACTACAATTACAACAGCTCCGGTTCTAGTCTTATTCACAAGTAGAAATATCTTTTCTATGTCTACCCTATCAAACCCCTATATAACTTTAATAGCCTCTGCCATGTCAATCTTCTTCAATGAGACAAGACCGCCCAATCTTGCTTGATGGATTCAAATTCCATTTTGATATAATTCAGTAAATATTCTTAATATATTCTCTATTGCCTCTACATCCATATTACTATATGAAGATCAGAACTGTTTACAGTGCTCCAAGGGTGATCCATCCATGGTGCTACACAAATCTAACATTTCCATTGTGTTGCTTCAGAAACAAACCCCTGTGCTCTACTCTTCTTATAACCATATGAACCTGCACCATTTACTGTTCGTGATTCATTTCTACCCCCAGATCCCTCTGTCCTATTTGAGTAGATATTTCGAAGGAAGAAGTGGTCTCTTTATTCTTTTGACCGGTGTACTACCTCACGCTTGGGTGGACATTGACTTCCCATTGCTTTGATTGGAACATTCCCTTAACCAAATCTCCAACAGTAAGTCTTTCTAATAACAAAACTTCATTATATTAATGTATTTAAACAAGTTAACCATTTATTACCAAAAATGCACTTACTGTCCAGTTCAATTTTGAACAAATACCCTCTGCGACAGAGTTGTTAAAATTGTCACAAGCTGAACTACAACCATTACTTGCATTCATATACATTGGATGTCAAGAATGAGATGAGATGAGGTCTAATTGAGGTTTAAGATGGTAAAGGGATTGACAAAGTAGATGTAGCGAAGGGTTCAATCTAGAATGAGGGTCAGTTTTAGAATAAGGGGAAGCTTGTGGAATTACTTCTCTCAAAAGGATCATGAATCTGTGGAATTCACTACCCCAGAGTACAGTGGATTCTGGGACATTAAATAAATTTAAGGAGGAGACAGATTTTTAATTACTAATGGGTTGAAGAGTTAAGGAGAGCTGACAGGAAAGTTGTGGTCAAACAAAGGAGATAAGTTACGATTGGATCAAATGGAAAAGCAGGCACAAAGGGCTGAATTTATACACCTGCTCCTAGTTATTTTGCTCTTTTGCTCTTATTTCAAATGGGAGAAGTAAGAGGAATGGATAAGGCAAGGTGTTTAATGGGCACTGTATTGGAAAGACTATGACAAGAGGCTCCTATTTGATTTGGTGACGCGAGCATTGACATTTCTACAGTAGTGCGAGTAGAGCAGCTGACAACAGCACAAAGAGAAAAGACTATTGTGTCTCCTTTGCAGCATCTTTCTCCACCTATCCATTTTCAACCTCTACATCATTTCCTCTCCTCCTTGCTTTCAGCCTGAAGCTCTTCACCCACAACCATGCACCCTCCTTCTCCAAATCTCCCACTATCAACAATTTGGAGGTTACTATTGACCAGATATTGAACTGGACTAGCCATATAAGCACAGTGGCCACAAGAGAAGATTAGAAGCAATTAATCCTGCAGAAAGTAAATCACCTCCCAATCCGTAAAGCCAATCCACCATCCTCAAGACACAAATCAGGAGTGTGATAGAATATTCACTACTGGTCTAGGTTTGGGTGCAGCTCCAACAACATTCAAGCAGCTTGACAGCATCTGGAAAAAGCAGACTGCTTGATTGGTACCACATCCAATCCTCAGAGCAGCAGTATGTACTGTCTAGAAGATGCACTGCATAAATTCATAATACTTAAATAGCATCTTCCAAACCCATGACCAATACAGCATCTAGAAGGACAAGGGAAGCAGATTCGTGGGAACATAACCAGCTACAAGCCACTACCATCCCAAGTTGAAAATCTATCACTGGTCCTTCAGTGCCATTAGGTCAAAATTCTGGAACTCCCACCCAACAGCACTGCCAGTGGGCCTATGCCACATGGACTGCAGTGCTTCAAAGAGGGAGATCACGACCACCTCCTCAAGGCCAATAGCGTTGGGCAACAAATGTTTGCACAGCCAGTGACACCCACATTCCATGAATTACTTAACATCTCCTCCCTTCCACAACCAGCCCCATCCATAATTGGCTGTGCTCCTCAAACTCAAAGCCTTGAGCAGCATGTGGCAACCGCCAAGGAGTCCCAAGCCACATTCAGCCACCTTGAGGCCCTGAGCTGTGCTCAGCAAGGTGTGGTCCTGCGTGGGCAACAATCCCCAGCAATTCATTCAGTTTCACTATTGACCATGCTATCAGTTATCAACTTTTTCACGTGGAATGATCTGCCAGTGGAAGTGGTAGATGCAAGTATAGTTACAACACTTTAAAGACATTTGGGGAGATACGTGAACAAGAAAGGTTTAAGAGGAATAAAGGGCCAAACGCAGGTAAATTGGACTAGTTTAGTTCGGGTAATTTGGTCGGCATGGACGAGTTGGACTAAAGGGTCTGTTTTTATGCTGTACGACTAGTGATTCTGTTCCTTTCAGCCACAGCCTTAACATATGGTGTAACTGAACAAGCCAATGGGGACTGTTGGCATTGGGGTCACAATACTCTACAGGTGATTTGATGAGTAGGAGCTGCAATTTAGTGGGCATTTAGTAAGCAAAATACTCAAGGAATATAGGAGCAAATTACTGCAGATGTTGGAATCTGTACTGAAAACAACAAATGCTGGAGATCCCAGCTCAGATGAACAGTCAAATAGACTCGAAACATTAGCTTGCACATTCTCCATAGATGTTGCCTGACCTAGTGATCTCCAGCACTTGTTGTTTTCAGTACTCAAGAAATATGCTATGCATTAATTTTGTATTATGTAAAAGCATCTGCAGTGAGCATAAAAAGCCCACCTCCGATCATGGTGTTTGAGTCTGGATGACTCAGACAGACTGTCTAATGAAGCTGAGTAACGAATTTTAGCATCTGGCGGTTTCTCCATAGGTCCAACTGGTGTTTGGCTGCTTTCATTCTTTCTGCTATGAAACAAAGGAAAAAAGACTGGTCAGCTACTTCCCACTGAGCTTCTTAATTCAATCCCACCTCAGCCATTTTTTTTTAATTCAAGCAATTTTTCAGTGGAAGACATTTCAGCAAGCTCACCTCCTGTCTCAGTTCAATGGGAAATGGGATCAACACTGCAGCGCCGACTGTCACAATAAAAACAGTCACTAGTTTAAGCCCTTGAACAGACTATCAGCTGATTTTTAGTTTTCAATCTTGTTCTTTGACAGGCTACAACAGGTTTTGCACAAGGGAGCATATGGACCGGCACAGGCTTCAATTATATTCAACAAGAAAAGGCAATTCAGTTTAATTGAGAAACACTGATTGAGATCAGGCCTCAGGTGAGGATACAAAATACAGTCAAAATTGGAATTTCCCAGAGACCATCAAGACTGTACATTTAGTTTCTGAAGTTTGTCTCATGTTTCATTTCCTAATCAATCTGTCTAGATGTGTTGATACCTCCAGAGCAGGTGGAACTTGAATCCAGGCCTTCTGGCTCAAAGGTAGAGACACTACCACAGCATCACAAGAACACTTTGCTTTAGGCTGACTAACTAGTGGGTTAATTTGCCCAATTGGTTTACTAATCCAGAGGATAGTACTACCATCCCAAAGATAGCAAATGAGCAAGGCATTAATGGGAGGAAAGACATTATAACAGTCTCCATCACAAGGAACAAAATATTTCCCATCAGTTTTTTTGGTCATCCTTCAATAGTTTGAAATTTTAAAATCTTCTGGCCTACTACCACCTTTACAGTTTTGTACACCTTTTCTTTCAATTTGATGTCATTCATAATTCCCTTAACTAAGCACCGCTGTTGCCACCTTCTCATATATAAATATATATTTGTTGAGAATTATGAAGTAACTCTTTAATTGATTCTTCTGCCTCTAACCTTCTAAACTATTTTCCCATTCCACTTTAGCCAAAGACTACTTTATACCCTTGTGACTGTCTTTATTTAAGATACTAGTTTTAGAAACAAATTCCTCACCCTCAAACTAAAGGCGAAATTCATACTATATTGAATCTTACCAAAAGGGGTTTTTATTTTGAGCTCATTAATCAATCATGTCTTATTACATATTACCAGGTCTAAAATAGCCTGTTCCTTGATTGGTTCCAGAATAAATTGTTCCAAGAAATTGTACCAAGTAGTCTAACACAAACTGCTTTAGAGAGTAACATAAGCTGGGTGCACAATACTATTTTCACCAATTGAGTGTGTCCTCCGAATACCAGGATTCTGTTAGATCCCCAAAATTACTCCCTGGATGACTTCCCACCTTGTTTGGGAGCTTCAGGTTTTAGCAATAGAGAGGATGCTGATGTGTTCCGCATCATGCGGACCTGATAACTGACGCAAGCATCACAATCTCAATAATTAATTAATTTTGAAGCAATTAAGAGCATTGTAAACTTGGAGATAAATACATACAATACATATACAACACACAGGCTCAGACATCAATTTAAAAAATAGGTGTTCAAGTCCAGTTTAAGCGGACCTCAAAGCACAAGTCCACATTGAACCAACAGTCCTTTATTTCCCAGAGGTGCAGACTGTGCAAACCAGACATATTCCTACACCAGCCACTGGTTGGCTATTTTCAGCAGCATCCATTCAGTCTTATCCCCACTGAATGCTCTTGCCAGAGATATTTCAGTTCAGTTCCAACTTGTTCCAAATTACCGAGTTTTGACCCACACTAATAACTGAGTGAGACACCCTTATAAGTGGTGCATGCCATCAGTAACTAGTTTAAAAAGCAGTGCTTTTGAAGTGGAAGACTATTAAACTAACTCTAAATACCTCTTAATTCTTCTAATTTAGTTCAAGGATAAAATACAAGTAGGAGCAAAGGGCCCAAACATTTTCATCACAACACAGATGTAGTTGTAAAACCATCAAAAACTGTGCAACGAGCAACAAGCCTCAGATTATTAAGCCTTGAAGCTTAACATTATTGATCAGATTGGGGCAGTGTAAAGATCTTACCTGTCAGATTCAGCCCTGGTTCGCAGTTGCTTCATGAAGTCTGAATGCTGCTGCCTCTGCTGGTCCAACAGCACTGTCATTGGCACAGGAGCTGTTCCACGAGATAGGTTTGCAGCAGTCAGAGATCCTGCTACAACCTGTGCACATGCCAACTCAGTCATCTAATCAGAAAGAGTTAGTACAGCACAGATTAGAAGACAACTTTGATCGCATTTTGCTTTGGAAATCAGAAGCCCCCATTCACCCCATCATACCTGTGCCACCACCTCTTTGAATTGGCTATTTGGCTAGACGCCTGCTCTCAGTCTTGCAAATCATGTTTTGCAAATATTAAAATTAATTTTGAAAATTAATATTGAATCAGCTGCCACCTCCTTTCCAAGTCAACTCAGCTCTTCTTTTGAAACAGCAAAAACCAGTGAGAACATAATTAAAATTGAACCATCCAGTGTTAAAAAGTTCACATGCTTGATCACTGTGATACCATTTTTTTTTCCGTAACACTTGGCAAAATTTTATTTGAGGCAAAAAGGAGAACTTGACGAGAAAGGTGAACCACCCATGGTTAACAAAGGCAGTCAAGGACAGTACCTACAAAGTACAAGAAAGACCCAGCAGTGGGATGACTAAAAAAGGAAGAAAATTGATCATGAAAGTAAATTGGCAAAACAAAAATGAACTGCAAGAATTTCTACAGGTATATAAAAAGGGAGTAGCTAAAATGAGTGCGAAACCCTTGGAGGATCCGATTGGGGGACTGATGATGGGTACAGGGAAACGGCAAATAATTTAAACCAATATTTTACATTGGTCTTCATGGAGGAGGATACTGTTATCATCCCAAAGATAGAAAATAAGCAAGGTATTAATGGAAGGAAAGATGTTATAACGGTCTTTGTCACAAAGGACAAAATATTTGACAAACTAATAGGACTAAAGGCAGACAAGACCTAACGGCTACATTAAATGTTTTTAAAGCAACTGGCTGCAGAGATATTTGAGGTATCAGCTGAAGTATTCCAGAACTCAATGGATACAAGGAGCATCCAGTGAATTGGCAAACTACTGTGACGCTCCTGTTCGAGAAGGAAAGGAGAGAGAAAGCAGGAAACTATAGACTAGTTAGTTTAATATCTGCTGTTAGTAGAATGGTAGAGTTGATTATTAAAGACGAAATATCAGGATATTTAGAAAAGCTTATTATTAAAAGTTGATCAACAGGATTGTGGGAAAGGGAAATCAAATTTGACAAATTTGCTAGAGTTGGACAGGAGGTAACAAGCAGGGCTGAAAAAGGGGAATCTGATGATGTTCTGTACTTGGATTTGATAAGGCGCTACATAAAAGTTTATTGCACAAGACAGGAGCTCACAGTATCGGGAGTAATTTATTAGCATAGACTGAGGATTAGTTAACCACAGTGGTTGTTGCTGAGGCCACATGGAATACTGTGCACAATTTTGGCTCCCATATTTAAAAAAGATAAACCAGGGTTGGAGGCCATTCAAACAAGATTCACTTGGCTGATGTCTACGATGAAAGGGTTGATCTATCAACAGATAAACAGGTAGGGTCATTATTCACTCGAGTCTAGATGAATAAGGGTGATCTTATGGAAACAAGATTCATAGGAGCTTGACAGGGTAGATGCTGAGATGATGTTCTAGCACTGGTAAAGTCTCCAACCAAGGGACATCATCACGGAAGTGAACATTCATTTTTAAAAAATGCAAAGAATTGTTTTCTCACAGTGAATGCCTGGAATTCTCTGGGCCAGAGAATTGTGAAAGCTAGATCTCAAAGTATTTTCAAAGAAGGTAGATAGTTTTTAGAAATATTGAGAAAGTTGACGGTCACAAGGAGCTAGCATCAAAGATGAGTTAAAGCCTGGGTTGGACCAGCCATGATCTTATAGAATGGGGAAACAAGCTTGAGGGGATGAAACCTCTACTCCTGCTCCGGCTCCAATTCCTTGTGACTCCATTTCATGTTTTCTTTTCTCCAAAAGGGGAGTGTGAGGCTAACAATGTGCTAAAGGTCTCAAATGCTGTGAAAGGAGTGAAAACGGGGTGTTTACATACTGAGACAACAAGGTGCAGGGCTGGATGAACACAGCAGGCCAAGCAGCATCATAGGAGCAGAGGGGCTGACGTTTCGGGCCTAGACCCTTCATCAGAAAAGGGGGAGGGGAAGGGGGTTCTGAAATAAACAGGGAGAGAGTGGGAGGCGGATAGAAGAGGGATAGAGGAGTCCGCATCCAGCCCTGCACCTTGTTGTCTCGGATTCTCCAGCATCTGCAGTTCCTACTATCTCTGGTTACATACTGACTCAGGTGGCATTGATCCACCAATCCCAGCTATGCTGTCATGAGTAGGAAGGCAATTCCCTCCATGAACAAAGAACTACTACACAGCTCAACAAAGAACATTCTCACCTTCAGTAAACTCTTCCATCACATCACCCAACATTGCTCCCCCGCAGCTGTCACTCTTTTTCAAAAACTTCTAGACATGACTATTTCAATATTTTCTTGACTGACCTTCTATAAATTTCAACTCATTCAAAAGCTCCAATGACTGCACCCTCATACCGAGCCCCTTTTACCCACTATCCTGGTGCTTGCTGATTCACAACTTGCCAACACCTTCAGTTTAAAAATTCCTATCCTTGCTTCGATATTTCTCTTTTCTATCTCTGTAGTTTCCTTCAATACTACAAACCTTTGAAGTTTCTACATTCCCCCAATACTGGCCGTTAAGCATTTAAATTTTCATCACCCCACTGGGCCTCAGTTACAAAATTCCCTCCTAACCCTGCTCAAATTTTAAACACTTTCCACTTTTATAACATTCCATATGACCAATTTCTTCAACCAAGCAGTTGGTCATCTGACTCAATATCAGGCAATATGGTATTAAATTTTGCTCTGCTCTGCCTTGGGACACATTATTACAAGAATGAGATAAATTCAAACTACAGCGACAATTGACTCAACGCAACATTTGTACGAGAGAAATTCCTTCAAAACCCCAGAAAGCACTGGGTCTTCAGCATAACTGGGGGAAACGGCCATCTTGCCAAGTACATGAAGATCAAGTTTCTTGTACCTCTTTAACCTGACGTGCTGTATCGGCTGCCAGCCTAGCAACTTCCACCTGCTGAGTCATCATTTTACTTGTGGACTCTTGCAGCATCTCTTGGCGAACCTGTGCAAACTGCTGCAGCGTTTCTGCGTGCACCTGAGAACACAACAAAAAGGAGGCTTTCACATCCGGAAATTGATAATTCAGATACTTTAACCAAGAGATGTGCACTATTAAAATGCAATGTAAAATTTATTTTTGATCCAGTAAGCACACTGCATTGACCTTGCTGTCAATTTCATCATGCAACATAAGCTTAATGACACCAGTTTTGTTTACAATCAATCTTTTAAGCCTTTCCCTCTCCTCCACACAATGTCAGATACAAGCACAGTAACCTAGTCATGGTCTGTTTTTGTTTCTGATATCCAGCGTCTACAGTTCTTTGGCTCTTTTTGATTTAACCTGGTCATGGTATTGTGAGATCGAGTACAAATCCCCACCATGGGCACAACCTTAAACTAAAACCAGACCATTTAGAAGAGAAAATCAGAATTTAATTATTTCACTCATTCTCAGGATATAAATATCACTGACACTGATTGTCCAGCCACAACTGGCATTAAAAAGGTGAAGGTTAGCAACCTCTTGAACCACTGCAATCCATGTATATGTCAGATACTCCCAGTGTATGTCAGACAATTGTAGGCAGCAAAGGAAGAGCAATATATTTTAAAGTCATAATGATATCTGGCATTTCCAGGCATCTGCGGCTCTGCTCTTCCACATAGTAAAGTTCACGAGTCTAGATGTGTCAAAGAAGCCTTCAATGAGTTGTTGCAGGGCATACATAAATGGTACACCCCATTGCTACTGGGTGCTGATGGCACAGGGAATGGATACTTTTGATGGTGGACATGATTCAAATCATGCTGTACTGGATGATGTTGAGCTTCCTGAGCATTGCTAGAGCTGCACTCATTCAGGTAAGCGGGGAGTATTCCATCATAATAATTTCCTCCACCTGTTCATCTCCCATCTCCATTCCTTCCTTCAAACACTCCTTAAAATCCAACTTAACCAAAATTTTGAGTATCTTGAATGGCTCAGTGGCAACTTTCCTGTTTGATGACTTTTTGAAGCACATTGAGATGCTTTATTTATTTTAAATGCTTTTTATATAGCAAGTTGCTGTTATGTGATATTTTTCTTTTGCATCTGTTTTGAGGGATAAGGGAGGCAAAAAGCCAAAGGGCAATGAGGTATAAACCAATGCAAAACTGTGAATTGCATGAGAGAATTAAGAGGACGATTGTTATACTCTTGCTCCTATATCCCAAAAACAAAATTTTGAACTTGCATTCAATAGTTCTGGTGATCTCTAGGTGGGCCATAAAGGCCTGCTTGCTGGCGTCATGCTGAACCCAAGAACAATTCAAAAAAGCTGCAGTCTATTTTTGTTACTATCCTAATTACTTTGTTGGTCAAGTGGATACTCTTTATCTTCATAGAACAAAACCATTTGCACGGGTTCTGCCAAAGAGATTGCAAATATAGTATGAGAGGCAGTTCTGCACTGGGCTCCTCAGATGGTGACAATCTGAAGCAGAAGAAGCCATTCAAAGGAGTTAAAGCTTTCACAGTACCATTGGCATCTTCAGTACTTGTAAAAGTGCTCCATTGGTTGAAAAGGACTTTGCAATGTAGTCACGCCGTTTAAGGAGGAAACTTTGACAAGCTCCTAAAAAGACAGTACCTACATCAGCTGAGGAATTCATATTGCTCAAGATACTAGGAGAACTCCCCTACTCTTCAAATATTAACATGGATCTTTTCTATCCACTTCAACAGGAAGATTGGAACTCGTTTTAACGTCTTGCCTGGAAGATATTGTTTCTAAGAATGCAACAGTGCTGCTCCATATTGACTGTTTGTAGTAGGCTATATTCAAGTCGTAGAACAGGGCTTGAAACAAAAATGTTTTCATTCAGAGGCAGCTACGTTCACAATGAGTAAAGCTGACATTTATATCATAACTTTATACAATAACATCTCATGGCAGTTCACAGAACACAATTACAGAATTTGACGAGTAGCCGCATAAGAATTTTTTTCATTATTCATTCACGGGATGAGAGTGTCGCTGGCTAAGCAGCATTCATTGCCCATCCCTAATTGCCCAGAGGGCAATTCAGAATCAACCACATTGCTGTGGATCTGGAGTCACATGGAGGCCAGACCTGGTAAGGATGGCAGTTTCCTTCCCTAAAGGACATTAGTGAACCAGATGGGTTTTTCTGACAATGTCGACAATGGATTCTTGGTCATCATTAGATTCTTACTTCCAGATTTTTTTTTTTTTTTTTTTTTAAATTGAATTGAAATTCCACCATCTGCCATGATAGGATTTGAACCCGAGTCCCCAGAATGTCATTTGGGTCTCTGGATTAACAGTCCAATGGTATAATAAGAATTGCTTAGACAAAACATAGGTTTTAAGGAGCTTCTTAAAGAAAGACAGAGACCCACCAAGATTCAGTAAACAAATTTCAGTGCTTAGGTGGTCAACAATTGAAGGACCCACTGTCAATCATACACCAAAGAAATTGCTAAGGTATTCAAAAAGGAGCCAGCTTGCACAAGTAACTAAAAACCAATAGCAAGGATTGCAGTAATTAAGCATCCTGTCTCTTAAGACACAGAATTCCAAGAGACAGAAACACAGGAACCCACAGCCTTCCAAATTTACTCACCCAAATCAACATCAGCATGGCCTCCCTTTGCCCCATTTCTGTAACCTGCCCCAGCCCTATAACCTCCCTCATCACTTACATTCCTGATGTCATCTTGTGTGATCCCACTCCATCAATTTGTGGGTCTCAATCTTTAGAATTCACTTCTTAAGGGCTTAAAAACTCTCCAGATTTTCTTTAGAACGTCCTAAAGTTCGGTGACTCTTCTTCAGAACTCTAAATGTTAATTCTTCTTTCTTCCCACAAATGCTGCTGAGTTTCGCCAGCAACTTCTGTTTTTGCTTCTAAAGTTTCACCTCCTTGATCAAGTTTTGATCACCTCAATACCGTTGCCATTGATTTTCATGATTAGCCTTTGGTGACAGGAATAGTTCATTGGTAGAGCAGAGCAGGATAGGGGTGGGGATGAGCGATGGCTTCTATGTTAAAAGCACTTTATAAATACAATTTGTTTGTTCTTCCTGTACACTAAGAACCAGTCAACACCGAATAATTTGCATTTCAAGACAGCTGTTACATGTTCAAGTACCTGTACAGCTTTCTGCCTGGCCTCCTCTAGCTGCCTCTGACTTGCAACAGCTTCCTGCTCAGCCTTCAGCTTCAGCAGGGCTAGGTCATGCTCATGTCTTTGCTGTTGGGCCTGGACACAAACAACAATTAAACAGGAACAATCACTCTACATTGCAATGTGAAAAACTGGTGTGTAAATTTGCAGAGTCTAATGAGGGAAAAACTTGGAATGCAAATGCACTAAAATCTCAACAATAAAAGATGACAAGACTTTATAATCAATTAGCTTGAGATTTCAACTTTAGAAATAAAAATCACAATGGTTCAAATTTTGCAAAGCTGCAATTTCTTGAAAACTGGGCAAGTTTAGCCTGCTTCTATCAGTCAATTTGAAAAATGCAGTTACGCGCAGGTTTTTTTGCTTATATTTACACATTTAAGATTAGGCATTATCCTGGTACAACACAACACAAGGCTAAGTAAATCTAAATCTCTATTTCTGGAATATCCTTTGTTTTGCCCAATTTAACTGAAGAACTTTGCTCAGAATGTTGCCTGATTTGGAATAATTCTTGCAATAAGAAGTTACAGCCAATGTCACTTAGACAACTTTACAAAACCGTTTCTGAAACAGCACAAGGCGTAGACTAGTACCTTTAGGATCTGAGCCAACGACACAGTCTCTTGTTGAGCAAGGGCAATTCCCCGGGTCCTGTCTATCTCCGACAGCTGGCGGACGGACTCTTCTATAGCATCCAAATAAGTGAGTTCAGCAGTCATGCGGTGTTGGAGACTTAACGGGGAGTTGAGCATGGAGACTGCAATAACCAAAATGAAAAGTGTAATTCCAACTTTTACAATTAGTTAAACAATGCATTGGGATCGTAGGGTTAACTGCATGCCCCTCCAAGACTCACAACAAGTTAGGGGACTGCGTAGTAATTCCTAGGAAACTACAAGGGATAAGACATCGAAACTTTGATCAGATTCACAAGATACAACTACCAAAGAATGCAAAGATCCAAATCCAATCATTGTATTTGGATCCTGGTGAATGATCAGGAGTGCAACAAAGGTTCACCAGACTTGCTTCTAGGACGTCTTTTGACGAGAGATTGGGCAAACTGGACCTGTATTCTCTAGAGTTTTGAATTGATTTTACTGAAATCTACAAAATACTTAAAGGTATAGACAGGGTAGATGCAGGCAACAGTTCCCCTGGTTGGGGGAATGTAGGACTAGTGGGACAAATTAAAAATAAGAGCATGTCACTTAGGACTGAGATGACAAGAGTTTTGTTTTTAACTGAGGGTCATGAACCTTTGGAATTCTCTACCACAGAGAACTGTGAAAGCCTAGTCAACAAGTGTATTTTATGTTAAAATTGACAGATTTCTGATTTCCAGGAGTGAATAGGATTATGGGAATTGGGTAGCTAAAAGACATTGAAGAGCTGATCAGCCATGACTGTATTGAATGGCAGGGCAGAGTCACAGGCTGAATGGCCTACTCTTGCTCAATGTTTCTCAGACAGGGTCCAACCACTCGAATGAAAAAGCACCTGCTTCCACGTCACGTGGTAACTTACCAGTTCTTCCAATCGTCACTACCCCTGTCACTTCTCTTTGGTTTTCCATTTATTCAGGGTTTTATTCAAAAAAGTCTATTCATATGGAGATGTGTAGGACAAACAAATGACAGTTATAGAAAACAAGATTATGAGAGCTCCAACCTGCAGCAGAGGACATGGAGGGTCTGGCTCCAGTAACACTGACATCAGCGAGTTGCGGTCTGTAGGCTAGAGACGGTGAAGGTGTGAAGGTAGTAGCAGGCAGCTGCCTCATCCCATCTCCGGAAGTTATCACTGTATCATTCTGAAAATGTCTCTGAGACACAGAACTGCCAGGGGAATGGAAAGAAGAAGAGCTTGTGCTTTTCTTGGCCTTTGACTCCCCCTGAGCACTGAAAGCAAAAGATTACACAATTACTAAATTCTGACACAAGCATCAAATAGGAGACATCACTTGAACAATTTAACATTGCAGATTTCATGTCATCAAGTATCTGTATGCTGAAGTGCTGCTTTAAACAATCTGTAGGATTTTGTAGGCATTAGGGATAAACAGCCCTCCCGTACAAATAGGCCCATGTTTCCTCTATCATTCCCAAAAGTCAATCTCCCAGCAATACCATTCCCATTGTTAAATTTAAACAACAATGCACTGACTGGACAGTGTGCTGGAGACTGCTGAACCTGCCAAATCTGACAACTCAGGCAACCAGCTCTCACCATATTTGCCAAGGTGTAAAAGATCCTTCAGGTTTACCAGCCCATTTGAGTCGTCGAGAGGATTTGTCAGTGACTAACATCACACCGGCCACCATATGGCTGGTAGTTCTCTGGGATGCCAGAGGAAAAATAAAGGGGAACTACATTACATGTAGATCAACAGGCAGCACACAATACTATAAGGGCTGAATGCTTTCCAAAACTGCAGGCACTACATAAAGCAAATGCTCACTGATGTCTACTTCCTCTCGCCAAATACCAAAAACCCCAAGAACCCAGCAAGGAGAATTCACCCCAGCTCAAATATGTAGGACTATCCAGTCTAGGCTTGCTAAAATATACACAAGGAATATATTCCTGGGAATACAGAATTCCAAAGATTTACAATCCACTGAGTAAAGAAACTTTTAGTTTTGGTCCTAAATAGTCAATCCCTCATCATGAACCTGCCCACTCTCCAGCCAAAGAAAACAGAGTCAATAGCATACCTAGCAATGTTACTTGACAAGTAACTTGGAAGCCTGGGAATATGCACTGTGGTTGTACATCTGCCACATGGACTGCAAAAGTTCTGAAGCAATTCAGCACAATAAACACCAACCTTGTTAGAACTACCACTTTACCAAGAAAAAAGAAAACTGCTCAACATCTACCTCAACAAGGCCTCTCAATCTAATAGGTTTCAATTAGATGTCTCCCATTCTTCTAAACTTCAGAGATTATAGACTCACTCTGCTCAGTCTTTCCCTCTTGGGACTACTCTCGCTACAGGAATCAATCTAACAAACCTCCACAATGTGACCTCCTAGACAAGGATATCTTTCCTTAGTTATGAAGGCCAAAACTATAAACAGTACATAAAAAAGTGAGTTCTCATGAAAAATAACTGTAGGAAGATGTCCTTAATCATACACTCCAAGTTCTTTATAATAAAGGCCATCTTGTTATTTGCCTCCCTAATTATTTACTGTTGTATGTTAACATTGTCTTAAACGTGCAAGGAATATCAGTGCCTGAATACCAACATTCAACAGTTCTGCATAATTAAAAATCAATTGCTTTTCTATTCTTCCTACTAAAATCAATAAATTGTCATTTTTCCATCTCTCTGTCTCATTCTTGCCTAAAGGGTGTAGCCTGTCTCCTTGAGTTCCCTCATGGCTTATTTCCTACTTCAATTCAATTACCCCCAACTACATCTATAAAGAATTCCAACATTTCCCTGAACTGATGTCAGGTTAACTGGCCTGTGACTGACCATTTTCTCCCTACTGCCTGGGTCACAAATGCAGAGTTAGATTTGTTAACTTTCAATCCGTACCAACTGTTCCAGGGAACCTTGCAAGATCAAACACAATTCCATCACTATCGCTGCAGCCATCTCATTTAGATCTCCAGGATGCAGGCCATGGTCCCTTAGATTTGTCAGCTTTTAGACCCATTAATTTCTCCTTTCTGCTTTCTTTACTAATATTATTCAAGTTTGTTATACCTTAAAAGCACTTTTAAGTCCTTTATGTGTCCATATTCACTACACCTTACTGTGCTTTAAGTACACTTCAATAAATCATACCTAGTTGGGACATGAACAGTGGTGTCTTCCTGCACTTTTGTGTCCTTCACTTGCTCAACATCTTCCACAAACATTTGCCCAAGGCTTGGCATCCTTCCTTCAGGGGAACTCCGCTCTGAAATACTGGCAGATACCCAAGCACCATCATTCACAGGAGAGTGTTGCACACTCCCAGCAGCATCATTACCTGCCAAAGTTACAAATTGTACGGGTGAGAAGACAGTGAGAGAGACCATGGTGGTGCAGGGTGGGGAATAGGGAAGATGAAGCATGAAGGCCAAGACCAGCCAACCTAGCCAAAGCAGATGGTCTATTTAAAACGATCAGTGGATGAATGTAATAGGGCAGATATAGCCAAGACTCATACCATCCTTGTGGAGGCTTTCACCGGTGCTGCAGATTACTTACTGTCTATTTTTAGTTTCTTTCCTGAAGAGCCAGAGGATCGGGAAGAGACCGTGGAACATTGTCCCAAGGACTGCGGGGATACCTCGCCCGACGCTGTATTGATAGAACCTTTGCTGGGACATTCACCTTGGGCACTGGACGCTCTGCTGCCATTGAAGAGAAAGAAAAAAGAAAGAAACTAATCTACTCTGCTACATCAAATGCAGTTTGTAATGTTCAGTCTTTCCGAAAAGTATAATACAATGTTTGTGAATTCTAGATATTTTGATACAATTTAGTTTAGATTTTGAACTACTGGGATTTCCGTGTGAGTAAAAAGGCTTAATTATTAACAGGTAACTATTTCTGTAAACACCTATTTCTTTTAAAAAAAAAAGAAACAAAGTCTTGAGAGAGATAGCTCTTGGAAGGTAATACGATTTTATTTACATTGCGGGGATTTTACAAGCAAACAGAATAAACTGCGATGTGTACTATGGTTTAGTTAGAAGATTCTGGAATTTCATTTTGGTTTGGGCAGCATCGTAACAGACTTGAATGAAGCTGGATGTGTTTCTCTTGAAAAAGGAGAGATAGTTAGAACTGTTAAGAAATAAGGATTATAAATAAGAAATAAAGAATTTAGTTCAGAAGGTCTAGGCCGGTGTGATTGGTTAAAACCTCGGAAGGGCTACTCGAAGCTTCGAAAGTCTAAGCTCAGTTGTTTGAAGACTCAAGGAAGAAGTTATCAGATCCCTAAAATGGTGAATTAAAGCCACAGTTAAATTAAGCCCTACAGATGTGGTGACGGGAATTATCTCATGAGACTGCTGCAAAGGAGTACCTTTGGGATAAATAGGATTCTATTTTACCATGTCTTTCAAAATCTTTAAACTTGTGTTTTATGTATGTTATAAGCAAAAAGTTTGATTTATTTTATTTTCTCCTTCATTTCTTTTGCATAATAAACTTTTGATTTGAAACAAAAACTGCAACACTGCATGCTTGCGTTTCAGTGAAAGGCCACCTCGTTAAAATCAAAATAACATAATATGACCTAGCAAGCCAATTTTCAGTCTGGCGAGATCTGACGTGAGGATCAACACAGCTGGAATCATAACAGTAAATGGAAGCAAGTGAAGCAGATCCAGAAAAGTTAAAAGTTATGGGTTTTTAGTCTGCATGCACAAATACTGGTTCAGTGAGAACCCAACAATAGCTTTCATTTATATGGTTTCCTTGGCTACTTTAACATCCCAAGCTTATCACAACTGTCTTAAAGGAGAAGCGAGAGGTGGAGGCAGAGGGGCTGGGCAGACGAGACCAAAGCTTAGAACCTAGACAGCCATAGACACAGCCACCAATGACAGATTAATGGAGGCAACCACGATGGAGAAACACAGATCTTATAGGAGTGGTGGAGTGGGTGACAGATTGGGGCAAGGGCCATGAGTGGTTTCAAAAATGAGAATGAGTGATTTAAAATGGAGATGTTAGTCAAACCAGGAGCCAAAGTGGGTCAGTGAACACAAAAGGGGGTATTGGTCTGTTAATGTGAGAAATTCAAAGAACTAAACACCACAGGGGGTATCTGAACTGAAATGGAAGGAGGTAACCAGCAGAATCACTTGGAATGACATTCTACCCAATACTAACTTTTATGAAGGAAAATATGGGATGGATGCAAAAGTAGCACTACATCCATTACGCCAGTTTCCTGGTTAGCAAGTTTGGATAAACTTCTCTGCTGCATCATCAGCTGAACCTCTAGCATTAGTGAAAACCTGGCAGCAATGACCTGAAAGCAGTTTACAGTTAAGATCACAGAACCAGCAAATTCAGTGCTTCTTCAATACTAACATAATCCACTTATTTTATTTAATAGGCAATGTAGCAACAATCGGCAAGATGCTCACCGTGATGAAATGAAGAAGTCAATAAAAGAATCTTCAAAACAATATAAAAAAAGCATTCTGAAGCTGCAGGAATGCATTTCTGCCATTCAGTGACACTATTGAGCTCTGGGTAAAATGCTACAGCAACACATGGAACTGACAGACCCAACTGTAGAAGGGGAGCATTTATATATAAATATCTATGATCTATGATCACAACCACTGATTACGTAATCAGCCTCCCTTGTGATAACCCATCACCATTTTCCTACACACATGTAGGAAAATATTTGCAATCATTTGTAGTAAAAGTCAGTTATGGCTTGAGAAATCAACAGGCTTTTTCCTTTAAAAATATTAATATGTACAGTTCAAAACATTTACTTCAGCATCATTGACCTTTTAGGATCAGAATCTTACAGCATTCAATGTGCCTGTGCTGACACCATGATTGCCTTATTCCCCTCCTCTTTTTCCAAGGCATCAGATATTTTTCTCCCCTCAAGTATGTATCCAACTCTTGTTAAATTACTTTTGAATCTGTTTCCAGAACCCTTTCAGGTAGTGCATTAGAGATCACTATTCCACTTTTTGTTCTTCTGCCAATTGACTTAAATCTAATATAAAAATGAAATAACAGTGCTAGAAGGTCAAATTTAAAAACTTGGGGGAAGTGAGGAAACATTACTCAGAACATCTTTTGTTGTCCTAATGCCTTGCTTCTTTGCTTTTGCACCAACTGTTGTCATTTAATTTCTCATGGCTCCACCCTAGCGCACACAGGGTGTGTCTTGTCTTTTATTCTTTTACTCATCACCCACATGTTCAAGTGTGCTTATTTGCTCAGAAAAGACAGTTACTCACTCCAGTGCCTGCTCATTACCTTTGATATGATGGGATCTTCCTGCTCGAAGCTGTGCTGCTCTGGGAGGAGAGGAAGTCATCCTCATACATAGCTGCTACTTCAGGACTTGTAGACATCAGGGGCTGCAGGGTTGGTGAGCTTCTGCCAGATTCTTCCTCCAAACCTCCTGTTAATACAGGTATAGTGCCACAAGGTCACAGGTGACAACTTTCACTAGATCTTCCAAAGATCTCTAAAACACAGGCCCTTACCCTCCATTCTCTCTTCATCAATGGGAGAAATAGTTAATATTATTCAAACAATAAACAGGTTGGTCACAATCTAACAAATATCTATTACAGATCTTCCCTCACCCTCCACCTGTCATGTCAAACCATTCCCCTCTACCCACTGGACCTAAGTACCCAATTTTTGTCAGAGCCCAAACAGTCTCACGTCAGCTCCCAGGCACCTAACAACCCATCGACGAGGTATCTCCTCCATAATGCTTCAGGCACCAGGCAGCCAAAGGCAGAATCCCAAGGTCCACACTACTTAAGCACTATCTAGCTACTTCTCCTGGAATCTGTCAACATGGGCAACAATTGAGAACAACATCCCACATGGTTGTGACAAGCTTCGCAAGATAAAAAGCATTCTCTATCTAGACATGCTCAAGAGCAAGGAGCAACTGGGTGAGATAGCGGAGGCTCCACACTCCAGCATGTCAGAGGTGTAAAATGGATTTGCGGAGATTGGGTTTCATATCCACCTGAAAGCATATAGACCCTTACCTTGTCCAGTGAACTGGTAACTCTTTGTAAAGATATTAATCACACTGTGAGGACTTCCTTTGGCCAGCTCTTCCCAAGGTGCTCGGCTCTTGCTTCCCACTGGGTGTATTTGCAGTGGTTGGTACTTTTCTGCTTCTTTCTGGAAATCTAAAACTGGTCTGGATGAGCTCAATTCTCCTGCACAGAATTCCTTGTCCTTTAGCTTTTCTGTTGATCCAACAGGATCTCTGCATCTGGGTAGACCATCCTCCTCAGAGAGACTTCCTTCACTCAGCAGTGGCCCTTCACTGATTGACCCTTCACTAGAATGGGGGGAATCAAACTGCTTTTTTTCTCTGCTGAGCTTTTGCAAATCTTGCTCCAGGGCCTCAAGTGACCTCTTGTATGTGTTTTCCCAGTTCACTTCCTGTTGCCTGTCTGTCCCTGAAGTCCTGGCCTCTACGTCTGCTGTTGTTGTTGTGGAGGCTTGACAATGGGGTGACTCACCAAACTTTTTAAATTCATAAAGACTGCTGACTCCTGGTAGACCATCCACATAGGTAGTGAGACCCACATTGGCTCCTCGAATTCGATGCATTCTGGGTGAGATGCTGTCCTCACCACCGTCACGGACTGGTGGACTGACAGGCTTTACCCAGCACCCATCATCCCATGCGGTCTGGAGCACATCATGCTCAGAGCTCTGCGCAACACCGTAGTTGATGCCCGCACCTGCAAGCTTTTTGGCTCCATTCTCAATTCGATTGGAGAGGGAGGCTGCCATTGCCTTCAGTGCCTCAATGCGGTCTAGTCTACTTTTCTGCGGGGCTATGGGCTTTTGTGTACCTGCTGTATAGTCATATGGTGAGAAGCCAGAGGATGGATGAAGAGAAGGCACCTGCCCTTTCGATGGAGCTTCCTTCCTATTTGCTGCTGCTTCCAAATCCTCGGGCAACAGATTTTGAGATTCCGCATTCGGTAGATGCAGGTGGTTGGCTCCACTGCCAGTGTGGGCTGGTTGGGCTGTAGGGTTCAACCGATGAGTCGGCATCCACGTGGACTCCAAACGGTCATGTCTGAAAAAGAAGCACAGTTCTTCAGAAGCAAAAATTGCAGCAATTTTAGTTCCCTTAAGCAAGTCATGTTAGCCCTGGCTCAATGTAACAATTGTGCTCGAGTTAGATGGTTCTGGGCTCCAGCTCTACTCCACAGACTTGATCACAATCTACATCACACCAGTACAATACTGAGAGCCCTCAATCAATAGTATGGTCACTAGAAAACAGGTGATCATATTGCTCACTGCAAGATGCCACAAATATGAAACTGAATGCCATGTTTCCAGGATTAAACCAGTGACTGTATAGAACAAAAGTGATTCATTGTTGTGAAGTAGTTAGGTACTATGCAAATGCAAGTCTCTTTAAATTTCAAAATCTGGTCAAAAGTGAATACTCCTTCAGCATGTTAAACAGGTTTGGAAAGCCTGATGAAGGACAGGAAATATGGGTGTGTCAAAGAGCAAAGAGTAAATATACAAACAAAAGCAGTGGTCAGAAGACAGCAGTTCCAGTTTCACTTTCTTATGTTATGAAAAGACTTGGGAGACCACTGAGAAAATCACTACCAAATCTGGTTCTTCTGACCACAATTCAGACTCACATTCTGCACTTCAACAGCAGTGGCAATTCATTAATTTCAAACAGGTAACTGTGGGCGAGAAACCAGCAATCAGTAAAAACCTAAGCCCGTTATCGCTCAATACACTCGTATAGCTGGAACCCAGCAATAATTTATTTACTATTATTTGAAGGGCAAATAATTAAGTGAGGACTGGTCAATCAATATCAATTATGCCCCCAAAGACTTTGGATTAAACTTATGAGAAGATGTAAATCTCCAGTCACAAAAGCTAAGTGGAGCCTGCTACAAAGTCAGTTAGTTCACTGCATAGAATTATCTAAAAATGCCAAGTCACCCAGTTATGTGAAGCTTATCCTTCATCTTTCTAAACAGTGACTCATACAGGTTTTGCTGTCACTGTGAAAGTAAAATAAAAAGCAAACATAAAAAATAGGAATCCTCACCATTGCTACCCTAACCTTTTATTAGGTGTGGCTTTAAAAAGCAGACTATTCTAGAAACACTTATCTAGTTAGCAACATACTGTTGTGACTGCTGCTGTTATTCTAAGATGTGAAGCGCTACACAGTTCCATCACTTTCAAATCAATTATTGCACATTGCACAACACAAATGGCATTTAAGAACAGTATCCTGCTCGAGCTGGAGATACAAAATGAAACAGGTTGGGCTGCATTTATCGTCAGCAGTCATTTATTCTCTAGGCTGGTGATGTGATTAGGAACCGAATGGTATCAATGTTTTGTAAAGATATAATTTAACTATATAATATTGTTTATGCTTTTGCTACTGCAAGTTGCATATGCTGAAAGGGAACTCACTGGAACTTGCAGTAACCCTGCCAAGGAACATGCTAAAAGGAATAGTACATTCAGTTTGAAAAATTAACAAACAAAAGTACTATTTAGTTACATATAGATTTTCAGAAGGGTTAATGTAACATTCCGCAAACCAGCTCCTCGATTAGATGCAGTCAGCAAATCATGACCACCAACAGCAGCTGTGACCTGAAAAGCTAAGATAGAAGAAAAGTAGGAAGGATAAAGATAAGCTTATGGTTTTGTCATGCTTTTAATGCAGTTAGGAATCCCAAGGTGTTTCATAGGAAAGTTCACAAACAAATTGTCACACCTACACAAGGAAATATCAGGACAGGTAGCCAAAAACATAAAAACAAACAAACAATTAGGTCTTAAACAGCTTCTTAAAAGGAGCCAAGATGTGGAGGTGCTGGTGTTGGACTGGGGTGGACAAAGTCACAAGTCACATGACATCAGGTTATGGTCCAACAGGTTTATTTGAAATCACCAGCTTTCGAAGCACTGCTCCTTCACCAGGAGCTCCTTTGCCTGACAAAGGAGCAGAGCTCCGAAAGCTGGTGATTTCAATTAAACCTATTGGACTATAACCTGGTGTCATGTGACTTCCATCTTAAAAGAAGGAAACAAGCAGCAAGGCAGGGTTTAGGAACAGAACTCCAGAGCTTAGGGCTTTGGCAGCTGAAGGTACAATCACAAATTATGATGCAATTAAAGCAGAGGCCAAAGTTAGAGGAGCACAGAAATTTTGGCAATGGTTGTAAGACTGGAGATTACGGATGTCTGTAGAGTGGCAGAACAATGGAAGAATTTGCAAAGGGATGAGAATTTTAAAATGCTGGGCTATTAGCGTAGGTAATTTAACAAACACTAGGGCTGGGCAAATGGATTCAGTTGCGAGAAATACTGATACAAGTCACAATATGGGCACCAGAATTTTGGATAATCTAGGGTTTATGAAAGGAGCACAACATGGAAGTCAGCTGGGGCAGCACTGCAATAGTTGAGGTCTAGAGGTAGCAAAGGCATAAATTAGAGCTTCAAAAGCAAATGAACTGAGGGGCAGGGGTGGGGAGGGAGATAGATGATGTTACTGAGGTAAAGAAGAACATGAAGCCACAGGCTCCTTACACTATGCATTAAAGGTGACAGCCATGACAGAATTTCACAAGCCTGCAAATACATAGAATCAAATGTGAAGTACAAGAATCAGAGTTCTCCTTTGCACTTTAAAGGTGCCTTACTGTACTGAGATCTTGACATATGGCCTGAAGCAGGAAGTCACGATGCTGATTCATATCAGCAAATTGATAGCATTACTTAACAAAATCCCACATAGTCACATTGAAGGATATCTATTTTGGGCATTTAAAATTTTGGGTATAATTATAGCTTTATGACAGTGGTGGTGGAACAGTGACTGCACTCAGCGCAAATTTTAGCTTCCACTTGTCAGCTCAGGCTTCGTACAAATGACTCAATGGGAAGGCAGGGAAGGCAACACTAAAATCTCTGAAGTTTTTCTTTAAAACATTAAAAATCCTATTTCAAGTTGTCCTTTCCCATATATCACTATCATATACAGTAAACATTAAACTTAAGTGGAGCCAAGCAATTGACTTTGAATTCAGGCCAATAAATACAGCTGCAGAACCATTTATTGAAAGAGTAAAACATCTTTGATAGTGATCTGTATTGTCAATCATTGGTAATTTCTTCAAAATAGCGCTGAAGTAGTTCTGTAATGGTCTGATTCATATAAGGCATGGTAACTGGACCGCTTAGTAAGTGAATTTCCAAAATGCTAGTTTCAGGTAAAACAGAAGCTGAGGACCTTGAGATAGCAAACTAGTCAAGATTCCCACCTCTGATCCTCAGCTAGTGACCCATGCTGCCTTTAGTTAACCCTTGATTCAAGGAGAATGTCTACACAGGGTTGAGAGTTTTTGCATGTTTTCATGAAACTGAGCAGCATAATTCACGATCTGCAGATCTTTGGGTACATGGGAATGGATGTCTCACAAGGCAGTGTGATCCGAAGTGCAGGATTTGCTTCCTTTACTTTCGTTCTCTGCTGCTGCTCTGCCTCATCATTAAGTCATTTGGATTCATACACAACGCAGCTCGATGGACAAGTTTGAGTGATGGTAGCAAGCTCCTCCCAGTGTTGATGTCAATGTTGCTGAGCTTAAGAGTTTCAGAGAATTTTCTTTCTCCTCCCTAAACATTGGCCATTTGAGAGTTGAGAACACAGGATACAGCAGGGGAGATGCAGTCTTCCCATTGAGTCAGAATGACGCAATGGCACATTGCTGGTGGAATTCTCCAGCGATCTTTTGTGTCATTTGTACACAGTTCAAATTTCACTGCAGTACAGGAGTATGTAGCGATAATTGCTCCGAAGGCTAAGAATTTTGTTCAGCTCCATAAGTTTTTGTCATTGAATACGCGCTGCCACAGTTTGTAGACGTTGGTGTAGCTGATCTAATATCGGATATTCTTTGTCAGTAATGCCCTTTTGAGAAGGGTGGCTGCCAAGGGATCAGAAATGTTGGGCAGTAGAATATTATTTGGTTGATCAGTTCTGAATTATGAGTTCTATTATGGCAATGCTCAAGGACAGGTGGACTCTCTCATCTGCAGAATTGATCAGACTGAGTAGTCCCCAGACCTGGTGCAGTGTGAGCAGTGACAATCCAATCATTTGCAAACTGTAGGTCTTATGTTTCTATGGTGGTCAGTTTAATTTTGGCACAGAGGTAGCCAAGAATGAAAAGCTTTCCAACTCCAGAAATTTAGGTGGTATTTAATACTAACACTGGTCGATAGTTAACCTTTGATGAGTTTTCTTTTTTAAAACTAATGTCGATCAACAAAGTCAAGCAATAAACTTAGCAAACAAGGAGGCTAAAGAAATTAATCTGCTGCTTGGTCTGCAGAGGTCCTTAATAACGTGCAGAATATTAATATGTCTTTCCACAAGTGTATAAGTTGGTACCGAGGTCTCATTGGTAGAGGTTGGCCACATGGGTATCTTCGGTTGTCTTGAACCTATCTGCAAAGACTATTCTTGCCGTGGAGGTGAATTTGAGGAGGTGAACAGCCACTTACAAGTAGATTGCCAACTGTATGGGGTTTGTCACATGCTTTTGTTTGACCTCAATCCATATTTGAAGACATGGTTTCAAATTTCCCCTCAAGACAGCTGCAGTCCTGTTTGCTAAGTGGAAATAACTGAGCAGCCTACCAACATCTTCAGGAGCAATTTGGGAAAAATACAGCAACCAGAACGTACAAACACAGGACATTATCAAGCTTCAAATGCCTTAAGTTGTTTAATCACATTAAAAGGTTCTACATAAAATGAAAGCTGTTGTTCTTTGCTGAATAATCCTTGCACGTGAATTTGCTGAGAAATCTTAACTACAAAGGTGCAAAACAAAGTTCTCCTACATTTAAAAATGTAAAGCACAGCAAAAAAAAAATGAACAAGTAACAAGGCTATACAAAGTGGAGCCAAATTAACACAAGATGCCAAAGGAGAGTCATTTTCAATTTGGACCAACAATTACAAAAGCAGAACTTGAGGGGTTCTGGTGAATTTGATAAATGTACCACTTAAGCTAAATACAACGCTGATTCGGAGACTAAGTGGGTGTACAGAAAAACAAGCTGAACAATTCCAAGTAGCATGTGAATAATTATATGATAATTCTGGAAACACATGAAGCAGCAAGAGTCATTTTGAGGGAGTATTGGGAATAAATACCACAGCATACCCACGGCAAAGACTTGTTCATCACAGCCTAAGGAAATACTAAAAGGAACCAAATAGCCAACATCAGAATAAAACTTATGAGGGATGATCTAAGCTAGGGTTCTTCAGCCTCTCAGAAGTTCTAAGATATTTGATTACATCAAGACAGCAAGACAAGAAAACACAAGATCAAGGACAAATCCAGAGAGATTATGTTTATTTACAAACAGACTAATCAATGGTTAAAGCAGGCTGATAGGAAAGGTGGTTGAGGACAACCTACTCAGACTCATTCAATAAACAGGGAGCTACTGTAACAGGAAGTGCGAAACTAGACTGAACTCAAGACATTTAGTTAGCTGGACAATACTTTCTATTTGTTATAAATAAATTAAGCAACTATATGTTTGACTGATAAGGAATAATGCAGATCTGCAAAATTAAAGACATTAACAGTTTTCACAAAGGAACTAGCAGGTCAACATCTTGATTTGCTGTCAATTTGTCTTTGACTTCCACACAAACTTTATTTTTGATTAGATACAAAACCATACAAGGCATTAACCAGACCGCACCTAGAATATGTAAACAGTTTTGATCCCTCTTTGAGGAAAAATATATTAGTATTAGAAGCATTCCAGAGAAGGTTCACTTGGTTGGTTCTGGGCATGGAGAAATTTTCTTATGAGGAGAGTCTGAGTTGATTTGGCTTATGCTCAATAGCATTTAGGAAAGCAAAAGAAGATCTCATTGAAATATGCAAGATACTTAGGGGCCTTTGTCAGGATAGATGCTGAGAAGTTGTTTCCACTTCTGGGAGAGTCTAGGATCAGAGGGGTCAATCTCTTTCATTCATTTAAAACAGAGATGAGAAGCAATTTCTTCTCTAAGGAGGTTATAAATCCATAGCGTTCTTTATGACTGAAGGCTGGGACATTAAGCATGTTCAAAACTGAGATGGACGGATTTAATCAGCAAGGAAATCAAAGGTTGCGGGAAGCCAAAAAAGCGCAGTTGAGGATGATCAGATCAGTGAATTGTGGAGCAGAGTCAATGGGGTCAATGGCCTACCACTGTTGCTACATCCTATGGTATTCTAACATTTATTTGAACGGAGGCTGCATGGAATTCAGTTCAGGGTAGACTTTGATCCTATGGGATGCATTGGTTGAAATGTGCTAAGATAGTTTAAAAGCATACCTCTGCAACCTGTGCGAAGGTTCGGAGAGAGACATGTCACTACTCGATGAGGCACTAAGGGGCCGCTCTTGACCTTTGTTCTCTTTGTCAGATTCTCCTGAAGGTTGATAAACAGTCTTTTGCTGGACAAAAATATGAAGCAAATATTTATCAGAAAGTCCTAAACAGTATGCAGGTAACTTTGGTGGGTTTTTTTTTTTTTTTTTAAAAACAGCATGTGAAACATCACATCATTAAGATTGAAATATGGCACGTACAAGCTGTTTGTTGCTCACCAGATCAGACAGGACCACATTAAGCACACTCTAATTTAGGGCCGATCGGCAAGTTCACGGATGATAGAAAAATTGGCAGGGTGGCAGTAACGGTAAGGAGGATATAGACAGGCTGGTCGATGGGCTGATCAGTGACAAATGGAATTCAATCAAGATAAATGAGGTGATGCACTTGAGTAGGACAAACAAGGCAAGGGAACACATGATAAAATGGTGGAACCCTGGGAACACTAAGGGACCTTGATGTGCATTCCCTTAAGGTAGCTAGAAGGGCAAATAAAGTAGTTACGGCGGCACGTGAGACATTTGCCTTTATTAGGCGAGGCAGAGGGTTTAAGAGTAGGGATGTTATGCTGGAAATGTATAAAAATTTGATTAGGCAATGACTAGAGTATTATGTGTAGATCTGGAATTCACATGAAAGGAAAGATGTGATTGCGCTGGAGAGGGTGCAGAGGAAAATTACCAGGATGTTGCCCTGAGCTGCTGAGTTTTAGTTATGAAGAGTTTAGATAGACTGGGGGGCTTTCCTTTGAGTAGAGGTGACTGAGGCGGGGAAATGATTGACATGCAGAAAATTTCGAGGGGCACAGATTGGGAGACAGGTAGAAACTATATCCTTCAATGGAGGGATCAATGACCAGAGAGCATAGACTTAAGGTAAGGGGCACAAGGAAAAAAATTTACACCCAAAGACTGGTAGGAATCTGGAACTCACTGTAAAGGTAATTGAGGTAAAAACGCACATAACATTCAAGTAGTATTTAGACGTACATTTGCGATGCCAAGGCATACAAGGTTATGGACCAACAGCTGGAAAATGGAATTAGAATAGTTAGTTGGTTGATTATGACAGGTGCAGACTAAATAGGCAGATGACCCTTTCTCTGTGCTATGGATCTTTATGATTCTAATCTAACAAAATCTGCTCACCAATCTAAAATTACCCTTGAATTCAAAAGATAACCTGATCCCTCTGCTTACTACCAAAATGTCTCCTTAATCTCTTCTCTTCCATGCCTTCCACCTTCATCTCAAAGAAGAATCAAGGAATCCAATCCTGCCTGTAGCGCACACTATCTGTACTTCTCTAATCAGGTTTGCACCCTGAACTAACATTGAAGCTGCCCTAATCAGGATCATGAATGACACTTTCTGGGACTGTAGCTCCCTTTATGACTTCTCTGTAGATAGCTTCTACCTTTTCCTCCAATTTGCTGTTGTTTTGGAGGACTATCTATTTTCCAGTTTTCAGTTACCCCTTCTAATATCTCCTCTTTAACTTGTCTGATTACTCTTGTGAAGTTTTCTGCGTTTAAATGCTGTAAAAATGCAAGTTGTTATCTGAACCACACCTTCAGTGGCAACACAGCTGGCTAAACAACATCTCACACCTGCTACCAGACCACAACAAATTTAATAAAGCTACATTAAGTTTACACTTAACTGAAGCTTTCAACAGGATCTGGTAGTCTCTACCCTCAATACCTTGTTACGTGACAAACAATTCTAGCTCGCAGCTCTGAAACACCTTTCCAAATCACTATTGGTACTGCATTCTCCCACGTTCCACTAGTGCAGGAATCCCTGCAGGGTGCTGCTCTCCTTGCTTTGTCACTCTGCAACCTCTTACACTTATGACTGCCACCTGGAAGATTTTCAATTAGAACATAAAACAGTGCAACTCAACACCAAGAGAATGATTACCTGTCTCTCCTCCAGCACTGCTTCGTGGTGTGATGGCTCTTCAACCTTTGCTGGCTCAGACACATATTTCGAGAACGTTTCCTGTAAACGTCTCTGACACATTGGCTCTTGCCTGGGCTTTGAGAAGGCTTCTTTTTGCTTTCTGTAGAGTTCCTGCAGACGTTTGTTCTTTTGTTCCATTGCTTCCTTCTGGGCTTTCTTCTCCTCTGTCTGCCTCTTCTTCCTCTCTACCTGCTGCCTGGCAATATATTGGCGCACTTCCTCAGCATCATAGTGACGCAATCGCTTCAGCTGCATTTCTGTGCTCAGGTTGAGCCTCTCCTGCTTCCTCTTAACTGGGCTCACACTTCTCGAAGAGAACCGGATTCCAATTGGTCTCTTACCTTCTTCCAAACCAACCTTGTCTTCCGGATCTTGATGGGATGACTTCATCTGAAGGTCATCGAGAATCCCTCGTACTTCTGCTGGCAGCACATGTGTATTCAGCATGTCCAATTCATTCTGCCCCTCTTTCTTTCTACGGTCAGTCTCTGGCTGCTGCTCAGGTCTCTGTCTCTCAGAACTCCTGGGACGCAACCTTTTAGAAGCTTCAAGCCTGGTGTCAGAGTCTGTTCTTGTGGTATTTCCTGTAGAAAGGGAATTTTAAGACTTTCAGTGAGAAAATTACTTCTTTTAGGAATGAGGTGGGTAGCTTTGCACTGATTACTGACAAACAATGGCAGCAGTGTACACCATCTACAATATGCACTGCAACAAATCAAGGCTCATTTGACAGAATCTTCCAAAGTCTCATATTCTACCATCTAGAAGGATAAGGACAACAGATACATGGAAACAACATCCCCTAAAAATTCCTTTCCAAGTCATTCACCACTTGGAACTATAATCATTTTTTCAGTGTCACTGATTTAAGATCCTAGAACACCATTCTTAACAGTGCTCTGAGTACCCCTACATCTCAAGGACTGTAGCAGGTCAAGAAAACAGCTCACGACTACCTACTCCATAACAATTATGAACAGACAATAAATACTGCCTTGCCAGCAACACCCACTAATCATGAAAAATAGATTATATTGAACCTTGCACACATTTGATTGTTATAACTTCAAAGAAAAACAAAGAATTATCAAGACAGAAACAGAAATTGCAGGGGACGAGGGAGAGACAGGGTAGGGTGAGGCGGAGAGACTGTAAAGCTTTAGCACCAACCACCTTTGCAGTTGGCTTCCACCACATTGTTAAAGCTGACTCAAAGATACTATTCACTATGGTAAGGCATTCAAATATCAGGGGACAGAGCTGACATCAAGGTACTAGTAGTAGTCAAGTGACATTTGTTTTCAAGCCAGTGAAGCAAATAATGGTAGAAGTTCACATGATGTGCATAAAAACCTGAGTAACAGTAAGACAACAGGTAACTGGGTTGAGTTAGGAATAGGATGATCTTCATTGGAATTCACATCCTTTGTCCTTTCTGAAAACTTGAACAACACTGCTCACAGCTTAATTCTCAAAAATACTAATCATGCAGCTCAAAATTACACTAACCTAGACCTTTATAATTTATAAAATTCCATGTTTCTGGTACCAAAAACCTGAAATTCCAAGGCTTTAACTAAACCTGTAAATAATTTATTTTTCTTTATTCGTTAACTGAATGAAGGAGTTATTATCTAGGCAGCATTTATTGCCCATCTCTAATTGCCCAGAGGGCAGTTTTACACTCAACCACATTGCGGTGGGTCTGGAGTCACATGCAGACCTGACCAGGTATGAATGGTAGTTTCCTTCCCTAGAGGACATTAGTGAACCAGATGGCTTTTCCGACAATCGGCAATGGATTCATGGTCATCATTAGGTTCTTAATTCCAGATATTTTATGAATTCAAATTCTACCATCTGCCATGGCAGGATTCGAACCCGGGTTCCCAGAGCGTTAACTAGGTCTCTGGATTAACAGCTCAACGATGATACCACTAGGCCATTGCCTGCCCAAATCAAACTTTACATGCTGTTTGGGGGAACTGGGGCTGCTGGAGTGGAGAACGGAAAGAATCGAATGTTATACAAAGAAGTCGGCAGAACCTCTCCCATAAACAATGTGAAAGACATATTGTTGTAAATAATGTGGGTGACAGCAAGTATGTTGCTTATTCATGTCTCACTCCTAAAACTAAAACACAACTAAACTAGGTTCTCAACTCCAATATAAATTACACATCATTGACAAAGCCAATCACAGCATTAACAACTGTTAGTGGGTGAACAGATGAACATGAGCAGGGGTCAAAATATTCAAGATCAGCCAAGACAGAAGGTTTGAGCATTCATCAGCTACTCACTTGGTCTGGCATTCCTCTCTCTCCCAGCTCTTGTGCTGGGAGCCTTTTCATTTTCCTTCACTGTTTTAGGTGCAGGTCCCAAAACCATCTTAACCAACTTCTGGCCTTCACGCCAGGAGCCTGTGCTGATAACATGAGCACCTGAAAGAAAAGAACAGCACCTATGAATTGAAGTCCAGAGAAGCCAGGTTTTGAATCATTTAACAATGTCTTCATGCTCACAAAATGCTCATTCTTTGAAGTCTACACAAGTCTTCAAAGCACATTTCCCTAGCATAGAACAAAAATACTCAAAATCCAACTCTACAAATTGCAGTTAAAGCCAACAAAGTCCTGTGAGCAACTGATGAGAACTCAGTCTTCCGCAACTTCATCACATCCAACCTTGTCTTCAGGAGCTAAAAGACATCAGCAAAGGCATATTCAAGAAATGCTAACTTATGTACCTGCTCCTCAGAGGAATCTACCCACATCCTTCAGCTTATGCATCCCCATACAAGTCCTGTTCTTTCAGAACTCCTCACTTCCTATTTCCCATCATGTTAATTGCACATAGAGTTCAATCCATGGCTCACCCAGTTATCAACCAGCACAGATTAGTTGAAATTTCCAATGATACTCAACCAAAATCACCCTTTCAAATTTCTACTAATGCCTTCAGCTTCATGCAGGATGAGCCACGTAGCAAACAATTTCACTATTCTGGCTCACTCCCACATTATTACTAGACAGCTACCATAATCGCAAATTTTCATATCCAGATTGATATTCACTTAGTTCAACAGGCCTTCTTCCCTTTAACAAGAGTCCAAGGCATTTACCAAGACTCAGACAGCACATCACTTTCACCTCTGAACTAGCAAACTGCGGGTTCAAATCTTACATATAGAAATTGAGGACATAATCTAGGCTGAGATGGAAGTGGAGTACCGAAAGAATGCTGTATAATCAGGGTGCTGTCTTTTTGAATGAGACCAAACCAACAGATTGCTTTCTCAGAAAGATGTATAGGTACAGCAGTATATTGGAAGAGGTGGTGTGAAGGGGTTTGCTGCTCTGTTGGCTACTATTTATCCCTCAGTCAATATCAAACAAGTTAGCTGATCATTTAAACATTGTTGCTGTGACAATGCTATGCAATGACATCAAAATCTTTGTTTTTAAATCTTTTCAGTCTCATTCTCCTTCCCCAGACAATCTTCTGCTATTATTTTCTTACCAGTATTCCGATTATCTCTGTCTGCATTCCAGTTAGTTCATGACAGCTACTCTGCAATATTCTTTTGAATCATTTGTTACCATCTATCTCCTTTCTTTGATAAATCTAGGCTTATTTTGATCTTGTCCTCAGTCTTCCACTTCAGCATGCCTATTTCCGAATGGCTGTTCACTTCACTCCCTAATAAAAACCTCTCAGATCTACATGGTGGAATCTAAAATTAGTCATTGATATTGGGATTCAACATCTTGCTGCCAAATGAACCAAAGTAAGCCTTAAAGACGAATCTCTAACAGTATTTGACAACAGTCTCCAATTCAACTAGAGAACAAACATATCTGCAGTCTTATTGCAAATTTTGCCATTATAGAATGTCCAAAAGAACAGTCAACAAATTAATTTTGCAAAGCGGTCGGTCGGTCGGTCGGTCGGTCGGTCGGTCGGTCATTGTCATGCGGGCAAAAGGAGCAACCAATCTGAATTTAGGAGTTTGGATAAGAGATCAGTAAGGTAAATTGATAGTGAATCTGTTTCTGCAAAGTGCAGGTTAAGAGATGGTTGGGACACTCACTGGATGAACTCCTTTATTCTTCAAATGAACTATATCTCTTGCATCTTTAATGTAATAAGATGACCAAAAATGATACATGGTAATGTAGTGGATTCTTCTAGATCGCTCCGAACGGGCAGTCAAGAGACCATAAATTCATGCTGTGTCTATCACCAGCACTTCTGCAGCAGTGTATTCAGAGACAGCCCGCATTATGCATTCTATGTCCTAGGATGGGGCCTCAACCAACAATCTTCTGACTCAGACACAATGATGCCATTGAGAGTCAAGCAGAGATGTAATTCAGTCAACTGCAGCATCCCAATGATGCCTGCACCATTAAAGCTAGCCCCACCCAGGAATCAGTGTTCCTTATCTCCTTACAAACCAGGGTGTTGAACTGTAGTAACTGCAAGATGAGGCTGTCTGAGTTGTGCTGCGGACTAATGTACAGGAGCTGGAAAATTATTGTTTCAGTCCTTACCACCAATTCTATTAAGTAGAATTACATAGGATAGGGATACAGGTGTTTATAAAACAATTCCCTAACATGCATAAAATCAAATGGTCATGGCAAATAATCTGAGTGTTTATATACATATATATATATAAAATTAGCAGAAGAATAACCTCATTATGATCAATGAACAACCGCCTGAAAAAATGATTTCTAAAGCTCAGCCAAGAGCACGAAGCTGTTAAAAGCAGAACCCTGCTGCTTGCTTTCTTTCAGCTACGAGGCTATTAATAGGAAGTGCTGATGAACCATCCATAACCAGTGTCAGGCAGTGCAGCAAATCCCCACTCCAGACCACCACCCCCACCCCCACCCCAGCCTCTGCAAAAAAGGCAAGGCTTCAGAAGACTTCAGTTCACTGCAACTGCAGGGCTTTTGCTATATTTAGCACACAAACAGCACAACTTCTAGGTTTTCCTGAGACAGGTTCTTTATAAGATCCTGTGCTACATTAAAAGGAACACACACAGGAATCGGGGCAACTCCCAAAGGCTTGCTGCGCATGCTTTTAACAAGTATAATAATAGCTTTAGTTAAAAAAGGATAATACAATATAGGCAAAGTACTTCATGGCTCTGAACAGCAAAAAATTGGGACAAAAATTTAAATCCTGCAGTACACTGCTACCTTAAACCCTCCCAAGAGCTGGGAATTAGGACTTAGGTTTAAACCCAATTTTCTATGCCAGGTGCTCCAAATAGCAGCTATACTATGAAAGTTGCAAAGTTATCAGAATTCATGAGCACCAGATATCTCAAAGTGTTTTTTTACAAAGTACTATGAAATGTAGTCATTGTGAAATGTATGAAACATGGTAGCAAACCTACACTCAACAAACCCCCTCAAACAGCAATATGATAATAAACAGATAACCTGTATTCTGTGACGTTTATTGAAGGATAGATGTCCATCTGGACACCATGGACAATTTCCTGTTCTCCTGTGAAAATGGGTTATGGGATCTTTTATGCTTCACAAGCAGCTGAATGGAGCTACAGTTTACTATCTAGTCTGAAAGACTGCGCATGTCAGACAGTGCAGTCTCCCTCAGTACTACAGAGGAACACAAAAAAAAGGTCACTCAGGTTGTCAAGCTTGCTCCTCCATTCAATACAATCATGGCTGACCATCCACTTCAGTGTCTTTATCCCAAACTATAACTTTAGGTAGAGATAGTAGGAACTGCAGATGCTGGAGAATCCGAGACAACAAGGTGCAGAGCTTGATGAACACAGCAGGCCAAACAGCATCATAGGAGCAAAAGGCTGATGAAGGGTCTAGGCCCGAAACGTCAGCCTTTTTGCTCCTATGATGCTGCTTGGCCTGCTGTGTTCATCCAGCTCTGCATCTTGCTATAACTTTAGGTAATTGGTATTTAGGAGTCTATCGATCTTTGTCTTGAACATAAGCAAAGACTGTACCTCCACAGCGCTCTGGTGCACAGAATTCCGAAGATTTACAAACCTCTTAAACATAAAAACTGATCTCCAGATGAAGTCTCACCAAGGTTCTACATAATTGATGCAAGACTTTGCTAAGCCTGTACTCAAACTAGACTGGCCGTGAGCGGGAGTGACATCATTTTTGGTGCTATGCATTCCAAACAGGACCAGGTTACCCTACACTAAGTGCCACCTTATTCACTAGCAAGTATCAAGTATTAGAGCCAACCCACTCATTCACTTTTTTATACTACAGTTCTCAGCACCAACAACCAGTTCGCCACAGTATAGTCAAAGGCGGGCTAATCCACACTACGTAAATGAAAGTTGGCTTCCATTTGGCTTAGTGGCTTATAGCCTCATAAATACAAATTTCAAAAAACAAGAAGCAGTATCTTAGTCACCAAGCAGCTTAGAAAGAGCAACTTTTGCTAAAGAATATTTTTCTTAAAAGAATGACTATTCTAGAAGAGAAGAAATTCTCCCAATTTTTCTGTAGAATCCCTAGTGTGGAAACAGGCCCTTCGGCCCAACAAGTCCAGTGACCCTCTGAGCATCCCACCCAGACCCATCCCTCTATAACCCACCTAAATCTACACATCTATAACCCACCTAAATCTACACATCCCCAACACTACAGGCAATTTAGCATGGCCAATCCACCTAGCCTGCGCATCTTTGGACTGTGGGAGGAAACCAGAGCACCCAGAGGAAACCCACGCAAACACGGGGAGAACGTGCGAAATTCCACACAGATAGTTACCCAAGGGTGGAATCAAACCTGGGTCCCATGGCACCGTGAGGGAACAGTGCTAACCACTGAGCCATCAAAAGTGGTTTATTGGTCATTTTATTTCCAGATTATTGTTGAAATCAAATTCCATGTGCCATGGCAGGATTTAAACCCAGGTCCCCAAAACATTACTCGGGTTTCTGGATTAAAAGTCTGGTGATAATACTACTAGGCCATCATATAACCCCTGATTGTAGGAACCAATATTAGCACTATGCAGCGAGAGCAGCACAGCCATATTTCAAGTGACGCTCTCTTTGCTTTATTTTAATAGTGCACTTCACTCGAACCCAAGAACAACATGACCTTCATTCTCCACCCCAGCCCTCGTGGCGAAGTACTGATTTAGACACAGATTTTCAACCCACACCCTTTTGAAACAGAACAGACTCAAATACAGTTCTCATTACACTCTTACAGTCAGCATGAAGCAAAATTATTAGTTTCAGCTGGATTTGGACCTTCATCTGAAAGAGGTCCAAACCTACCCCCACCACTACCCCCCAGTACAACCCAAACCAGAGAATAGACTTTCCAGAAGAAAATCCAGACAATAAAATCATATTCCTTTAAGAAGTGCTGTCAATCCATACCAATGATCACACAAATAAGGGTATGTAACAATCTTAAAAGTACTAACAATTTAATCAATAGATTAAATTTAAAAAAGAATATTGCAATGCAGAACATGCAATCTGGGCTAGTTCGATAACTCAAAGGACTATGTAAACAAGTTGCTCAGCAGGATTCCCAGAGCAAAAGTATTCAAATTTATCACAACCACTGTGTTAGGTGTGCTTCGATGTGACTGCCTACCTGAGTTAGTCACTTGAGACAGAAAATTCAAACTTTGCCGACATTGACGGTTGTGTCACTGGAACATCATGAATTGCACAGGAAGGTGAGCAGAATGTTTACCCACTGCCTGAAATTCTAGCTTGTCATTCTGAACATGACTCAGCACTAGAAAACTTCACAATGGTGGAAACAATTTAAGATTACAAATGATCTCACAGCAATACAAGCAAATGGAGTATTGGTTTAAGTGTGGGATTTTGAGAGTCTCTTGCTGCTAATATATCATGCATCCCTAGAGACAAGGCAGTGCTGATAGCCCACATTTGGATTTCAGAGAAATTCAAAGCTTTATTGAAGGGATAAAGATATCAAAAGGATCACACAGCAAATTGCCACACCAACTGCACATTTAATACCTTAATAATAGAGGTGAATACCACATGATATTGAACACAAGCTACCTTCTAACTGATGTCCAAAGAAACTGAATTATTATATCCTGTCATTTGACATTTAATCAAGTGAAATATGAAATTTAACCCAATGCCTTTGTGTGTTTTGTGGTAGAGGTCTATATGATATATAGAATACATAAAAGACAGCAGATCCACATTCTCATCTGAAGTCATTACTATATAATCAAAGGGCAACAGACATTTTGTCCTAGATGGAACTCAGTGCCCAAATAATTTATTAAATGCAGAAAACCAATTTAAGCAACCCTTAGTAACAAATATTTATTTTGTTTGTTGATTCCATTCATCCAAATGTCCAAAAAATGCAGTAATGGCTGTGGTTAGGTCATCAATGCTGATCAGTACAGTGTTTAGATTTCCTGAGTGTCAATAGTTAAAGATGGTAGATAAGCATCAGCCTCCATTATGCTATTGATTAAAACTTTGATTATTGAATTTGAGACAGATATAATGAGGCTTGAGCCTTCACTTGTCATTTACTAATATGCAATCAGAGTCACCTTGTCATGGTGAGTTGACCCACGTCACCTCACTGTGGTGACGTCAATTTCCATGGAGCAGATATATAATTATATTAATACAAGATTCAGTTAAAATTATTTTCGGATGTGTTTCGGATTTATTTTGGTTTCTGAGAAGATTCCAAGTATCTGCTCCATTTTGTTTCTGTACAAGTTTAAGGATGAGAATAGCTTGTGCTTCACCCACGCACACATGGTCTGCAAAGAGAACCAAGTTAGCGAGCCTTAAACAGAAAATCTGGTCCACTCACTTGGTTTGGTGTCAGGGCTTGGTGATCGAGCAACCTTTTGCACTTTCCGCACTGGTTTAGTGATTTTCTTCTCTTTAGCTTTTTCACATGCGGCTTCCTTCGTTTTACTGCTCTCTGTCAACAAAATAAAATAAAAATCAACTACTGAATGCAAGTGTGACTGATTAGTTTAGCATTTGACTGTAACTTACTTCAATTAAGTTGCAAAATTGCACAAAGGTGTAAATTATACTTCTCAATTTAATTAGAACAACAAATTGTTTCAAATCTTTTACAATCTGGATAAATCGACATTGTCTCAGGGGAGGTTTGGGAAAGGTAGAGAACACATTTAGTACAATGGTTATTGGGATGTGGGAATGTAGAGATGAACAGACTGGAGAATTGGGGCTGTTCTCCTCAGAGCAGAGAAGGTTAAGAGGAGTTTGATGGAGCTCTTTAAAGTTATGAATGGTTGAGATCAAGTAAAGATACACTATTTCCAATGCCAGAGGTGTTGACAACCAAAGGGCATAAATGAGCTGGTTGGCAAATGAAGCAATGGTAACATGAGAAAAAAACTTTTACTACATGAATCATTTAGATCTGAAATTCACTGTACAATCGGGTTGTTGATTCAGATTCAACAGTTGCATTAAAAGATAAGTACATGAGAAAATAAATTGAAGGATTATGGGGATCGAGTAAGGGAAAGGCTAACTAAACTGCTCTCTAAGAGACCTTGCACAGACTTGATATGCTGAATGATCACCTTCTCTGGTGTACTGTTCTATCAAATAGCTAACAATATGCTTAGAATGGGTCAGTGAAATAGGAGGTAACTATAATTGCTGAATTTTCACTATTTCAACATAATGGCAAGTTGCATTAACTCTCTGAAGGCCACTTCAACTCCATATGCGCATGAACAACAAATCTCCGCAGATTTTTTGAAAAAGAAAAATTGCTTATATTCATACAATTGCATCCAACAGCCAATGTTCCTGCAAAACAGTTAGTATAAAGTACTAACAAAAACAAATTGCTGGAAAAGCTCAGCAGGTCTGGTAGCATCTGTGGAGAGGAGTCAAAGATAACATCTCAGATCCATTGACCCGTCTTCAGAACTGGAATAGGGTAGAGCAGTGGATGTTGTCTACATGGATTTTAATACGGCTTTCAACAAGGTCCTCATGGTACACTCATCCAGAAGGTTGTAATGCATGCGATCCATGGTGGCTTAACCATGTGGATCCAGAACTGGCTTGCTCTTGGACGGCAGAGGATAGTGGTGGAAGGGTGTTTTTCTGGCTAGTAGTCTGTGATCAGTGGTGTTCCGCTGTGATCTGTACTGGGGCCTCTGCTGTTTGTGATATATATAAATGACATGGATGAAAATGTAGATGAGTGGGTGAGTAAGTTTGCAGATGATATGAAGATTGGCGGAGTTGTCGATAGTGTAGAAGGTTGTCAAAGGATACAGTGGGATATACATCAGTTGCAGATATGGGCAGAGAAATGGCAGATGGCATTTAATCCGGGTAAATATGAGGTGCTGCACTTTGAGAGATCAAATGTTAAGGAAAAGTATACAGTTCACGGCAGGACCCTGAACAGCACTGATGTACAGAAGGACCTTGGGGTTCAAGTCTATAGCTCCCTGGAAGTGGTCACGGAAGTAGATACAGTAGTAAAGAAGGCACATGGCATGCTTGCCTTATTGGTCAGGGAATGGAGTACAAAAGTCAGGATGTCATGTTGCAGCTTTATAAGATTTAGGCCACTCTGAAGAGTACTGCGTTCGATTCCGGTCACCACATTACAGGGAGTATGTGGAGGCTTTAGAGAAGGTGCAGAAGAGGTTTACCAGGATGCTGACTGGATTAGAGGGTATAAGTTATAAAGAGAGGCAAGAAAAATTTGGATTGTTTTCTCTGGGGTGGCAGGGGTTGTGGAAAGACTGGATAGAATCTACAAAATTATGGGACACAGTTGATGGTCAGAATCTTTTTCACCCCTAGAGCTGAAATGTCTAAACCTAGGGGCCATGCATTTAAGGTGAGAGGGGGAAAGTTCAAAGGAGATGTGAAGGGCAAGTTTTTTTTGCCCCCCAGTCAAATTCACCAAAACACTCCTTTCCTTGTCCCACTTTTATTAGCAAAGCTGCGCTCTAATTCCACGAGCATGTCTGATCATTTCTATGTTTAGCAGCAGCTTGGAAAGTTATTCTAAGTATGGCCCTCAAGACTCTGATCAAAGTTGCACTAAAAAGGAGTGTACAAGCATAAAATCATTCGTTCAAATGTGAAAAGTTAGCTCAAATACTTAAAAAGGAGACAACAGGTCTCCTGTTTGCATATGATTAAATTACAGGCAATATCTCTCTGAAGCAGTTCCATTGCAAACACAGTCTGGGTGCAACTTCCAACCAATCCAATGAGAGGAAACAATGTCACCTATTCTGAGCAGCATTTTCCTACCAGGACACTGCTACCCAATTGATCTATGCAGTTATACAATCCAATGTAAAATACTGGCGTTGCATATTACACATGAACACACAACCAAGTTTCAGTTTAACAGGGGATGGAAAATTAGTTAAGTTGTAGGATTCATGTAACATACAACAAGAATTATGCCAGAGTAATAATCAGGAGGCCCAGTTAATATTCCAGGGACCTGGCTTCAAATCTTGATAATGGAAGGTGGAGGAATTTAAATTCAATTCAAAACAAAAGTCTAAAATTAAGAGTTTAATAATAATCTTAAACACCCTATGAAATGGCTGAGTAAGTTGCTCAGTGGTTACATTCATCAAAATGTTGCCAAAAAAATAAAAACAGACAGACCACTTGGCATTGATCTAGGCACCAGAAATAACAATGGCAAAAAAACAGCCCCTGTCGATCCTGCAAAGTCCTGCTTACTAACTTCTGGGGTCCGCTTCAAAATTGGGCAGCTGCCTCAAAGCTAGTCAAGAAACAGCCTGACATTGATAATCGAGAAGCAAACCTTACAGATAGTATCCCAGCGACCACTGTCACTATCCTGCGATATGTCCTTTTTATATCAGCATGACATATCCACGTGACAGTAGTGGCATATATTGAATCCTCAACAGTGACTCCAGACCCCATGAAATCTCTCAGCGTCAAGTCAAACATGGGCAAGGAAACTTCCTCCTGTACCATCCTTTTTTGGCTAATGAATCAGTACTCCTCCATGTTGATTAATACTTGGAAGGAGCACAGAGGATGGCAAGGGCACAGAATGTACTCTGGATGGGGGATTTCAATGCCAACTACCAAGAGCAGCTCAGCACTACTGTTGAGTCCCACAAGACATTGCTGCTCCTGGTTTTGAGGCAGGTGGTGAGGAAACCATCAAGAGGAAAAAAAGCATACTTGACCTCATCCTCACCAACCTGCCAGCTGCAAATGCATCAGTTATCAAGTCAGAGTAAAACAGCACAGAAACAGACCCTCTGGTCCAATTCGCCCAAGTCGACCGGATATCCTAAATGATCTAGTCCCATTTGCCAGCATTTGACCTACATCCCTCTAAACCCTTCCTATTCATGTACCCATCTAGATGCCTTTTAAATTATGCAACAGTACTCACCTCCACCACCTGCTCCTCTGGCAGGTTGTTCCATACATGCACACCCACTGCATGAAAAGATGCCCCTCAGGTCTTTTAAATCTTTCCCATCTCACCTTAAACCTATGCTAGTTTTCGACTGCCCTAACCTGGGAAAAAGGCCTCGGCTATTCACCCTCTCCATTCCCTTCATGATTTTATTAACCTCTGTAAAGTCACCCCGAAGTCTCTGATGCCAAAGGGAAAAAAAGCTTCAGTCAATTCAGCCTCTGCCTATATCCCAAACCCTCCAACCCCGGCTTGTAAACCTTTTGTAAACCCTTTCAAGTTTAACAACAATTTTCCAATAGCAGGGAGAAATGATTGAATGCTGTATTTTAAAAGAGGCCTCACCAATGTCTATGACAGAATCAGAAATCCACCGCATAGTCCTAATAGAAATGAAGACCTGAGTTCACGCGTATGGGCAGCCATGAAGTGCTGTGGGCCATCAACAGCAGAATTATATTCCAACGTAATCTGCAACCTTGTGGTCCAGCACAACCCCATTCTACTATTACCATCAAGCCAGGGATCAACTCTGATTCAATGGAGACTGCAGGAGGACATCCCAGCAGCACCAAGTATAGCTTAAACAAAAAGGTGTCAAGTTGGTCCAGCTACAAAACAAGACTACTTAAGCAGCAAGTGACAGACAGAGCGAAGGGATTCTACAACCAGTGAAGCATATCTGAGCTCTGCAGTTCTACTTCATCCGATCACGAATGGTAGTGGACAATTAAGCAATTCACAGAATTAGATGACTCCATAAATATCCCACTCTCAATGATGGTGGAACACAGAATATCAATGCAAAAGTTAAGGCTGAAACATTCACAACCATTTTTAGCCAGACGTCCAGACTGGGTGATCCATCTCAGTCTCCTCCAGAAGTCCCAGCATCATCGACGCCAGTCTTCATTCAGCCAATTCAATTCACTCCACATGATCTCAAAAAAAAAGGCTGAAGCAATTAATACTGCAAATGCCATGAACGCTGACAACATTCTTACTATACACCATCCTCTAAAACTTTCCATGCCCTTAGTCAAGCTCTTCCAGTACAGTTACAACACTAACATCTACCCAGCAATGTGGAAAATTGCTCAGGTATGTCCTGTACAGAAAGTTCAGGACAAATCCAAACTGACCAATTACCACCCTATCACTTGATCATCAGTAAAGTGATGGAAGGTGTCATCAACAGTGTTATCAAGCAGCACCTGCTCAGCGACACCCAGTTTGGGTCCCGCCAGGGCCACTCAGCTCCTAACCTCATTACAGCCTTATTTCAAACAGAGGCGAGATGAATGTAACTGCCCTTGATATCAAAGCTGCATGTGACGAAGTGTGGATTCAAGGGGCCCTTGTAAAACTGGTTTCAACGGGAATTGGAGGAAAACTCTTCACTCGTTGGAATCATACCTGGCACATAAGATAGCTATGGTTGTTGGAGGTCAGTCATCTCAGCTCCAGGACATTTCTGCAGGATTTAT